AGGCTGCGGTAAAAGGACCTAGTGATGCACCTGGAAGGGAGGGGGGAGGTAAAGAAGGAGAGCTTTATGCCTTCCAGTCACCTGCCAGGGTGGAGCTTGAGTAGTAACCTGCTTGGCATAGCACAAGACTCCAGTACTGCCCCACAAAATAGATACCCCCTGAGGTAGGACCTACCCCTGAGACCCACAGAATGCTTCACACCCAATTCTAGTTTCCCTCTGCCTCAGTGCCTCTTTGTCTCCCCCAGGAGGCTGGGTGATCTCTGGTTAGAGAGAATGAGTTGTGCAATTGGCCAACAATCTCCCCAATCCTGGAGGTGGGGGACTGATACTTCCCTGATTTGGATTGGAGAGTGTGTGTGTGTGTGTGTGTGTGTGTGTTGGGGGGGGCAGTCCTGGTGCTTGAACTCAGCCTAGGTACTGTCTCTGAGTTGTTTTTTGTTTTTGTTTTTTTTTTGGTCCGGTCGTGGGGCCTGAACTCTGGGCCTGGGCACTGTCCCTCAGCTCTTCAGCTCAAGGCTAGCGCTCTACCACGTGAGCTACAGCGCCACTTCTGGCTTTTTGCTTTTTGCTTATGTGGTGCTGAGGAATCGAACCCAGGGCCTCATGCATGCGAGGCAAGCGCTCTACCACTGAGCCACCTTCCCAGCCCTGTCCCTGAGCTTTTTGTCCAAGGCTGTGTCCTACCACTTGAGCGACACCTCCATTTCCAAGATTGTATTTTGTTCTTCATTCTTTGGTGAGCAAACTCCTACTTATCTTCAAGGCCAATCTAAATCTCTTCCTTTGACTCTCCCTTTACTCCTCCCTTCTCCCCCCCCCCCCCATTTAGCCCTTCAGGTTCAATGTCCAGGTGCAAATCCCCCTAGCCCAGGGTCTCTCTGGGGCTGGGGGAGGAGTGGGGAGGTCCGGAGCCTGCCTGTGGCCTGCGGGTCCGGCTCGCCCAGTGTTAGGATGGATGACACGGGGAGGAGCCCGTAGGGACCCCCCAAACCTGTACTTGGGCTGGCTGGGGCCGGCCCCTGCGGTCAGGGTCCCTCCCGCGATGCCCAGGCCGCACCTGAAGCGCTCGTGGCCCGCGGTGTCCCACAGCTGCAGCTTGATGCGCGGCCCCGCGGGCAGCTGCAGCACCCGGCTGTAGAACTCGACGCCCACCGTGGGCTCGGGCTCCGCCGCGGCCTGGGGCTCCGGGGGCCGCACATAGCGCCGCAGCAGCGACGTCTTGCCCACCGCCGCGTCCCCCAGCAGCGCGATCCGGAACTGGTAGCCGCAGTCCCGGGTCTCCATGGCCTGCAGACGGGGTCCAGCCCGGCCCCGCCCTCCTCGCCACGCGTCCATCCTGTCACAAGACTGCTGAACCAGGGACTTGAATGTGCAACTCTCAAAAGCTGACAGCCCGAGCCTGAATAGATAAGGCGGGGAGGGAGGGGCCGGAGCCTTAGCCCATCCCTCCAGCCCTTCTTTCATTGGGAGGTTTCCGCTCCAGCCCCACCCCCTGGGGTTCCCCTTTGGGCTCATCTGTGGACTGGAGGCCACTCAAGGAAGCGGATGGCTTACAGTTGCCCCCTTCCCAAGCAGGTGCCCCTGTAGCCCTGGTTGAGGCCTCTGGTTCAAGGTTCAGGTGTCTGTGCCCCACGGGTTCTAGTACAAGAGGCAGGGCAAACACTCAGACATTCACTGACACCTGCAACCTGGAGGGAGCGGCTGGCTGCCCGCCAGACCACTGCTGTTGCTGAGGCCAGAGGATGAGCTCTGTGTGCTTTGTGGGCAGTAACTCTGTGATAGGGCAATGTGCCTATGGGAGAGCACAGAGACTAAGGAGACGGGCTTGCTTGTCCCTGGTTCCTTACTCCCTTGATTCCTCAAAGGAAAGCACAGGACTGAGGGAATTTTTCAGTTTGCACAACTCATTCTAACTAGAGATCACCCAGTCTCCTGGGAGAGACAAACAGGGACCAGGCACCAGTGGCTCAGGCCTGTAATCTTAGCTACTAGAGGCTGAAATCTGAAGATCCTAATTCAAAGCCAGCCCAAGAAGAAAGGTCTGTCACATTTTAGCTCCAATTAACTAGCAAAAAGCAGGAAGTGGCGTTGTGGTTCAAAAATGCCAAGCCCTGCCAGGCTCTGGTGGCTCATACCTGTGATCCTTGCTACTCAGGAGGCTGGGATCTGAGAATCATGGTTTGAAGCCAGACCCCACAAGAAAATCCCTGAGACTCTTATCTCACAGAAGAAGCTGGAAGTGGCACTGTGGCTCAAGTGGTAGAGTACTAGCATTGAGCAGAAGAACTCAAGGACAGTACACAAGCCCAGAGTTCAAGCCCCAGGACTGGGCAAAAAAAAAAAAAAAAAAAAGCAAAGCCTTGCTAGGAAATCACACCTGTAATCCTAGGTACTCAGGAAGCTGAGATCTGAGGATAGTGGTTCAAACCCGGCAGGAAAGTTCATGAGAACCACTAGAAAACTGCAAGTGGGGGCTGGGAAGGTGGCTCAGTGGTTGAGCGCTTGCCTTGCATGCATGAGGCCCTGGGTTCGATTCCCCAGCACCACATAAGCAAAACGAAAAAAGCCAGAAGTGGTGCTGTGGCTCAAGTAGTAGAGCGCTAGCCTTGAGCTGAAGAGCTGAGGGACAGCACCCAGGCCCAGAGCTCAGGCTTCATGAACAGACCCCCCCCCCAAAAAAAAATTTTTTTTAAATTACTATTTAGGGGCTGGGAAGGTGGCTCAGTGATAGAGCGCTTGCCTTGCATGCCAGAGGCCCTGGGTTCGATTCCTCAGCACCACATAAGCAAAAAGAAAAAAGCTGGAAGTGGTGCTGTAGCTCAAGTGGTAGAGCGCTAGCCTTGAGCTGAAGAGCTGAGGGACAGCGCCCAGGCCCAGAGTTCAGGCCCCACGAACAGACCCCCCCCCCCAAAAAAAAAAAGAAGAAAAAAAGAAAACTGCAAGTGGGGCTGTGACTCAAAGTAATAGTGGCAGCCTTGAGGGGAAAAGCTCAGGGACAGCGGCCAAGGCCCTATGTTCAAGCCTTACTACAGACCAAAAAAAAAAGCCAAAAAGTGCAAAGCCCTGAGTTCAAGTCCCTGCACCAGCACATACACAAAGTAAGTACAGGGTCCAAACAGCAGTAGAAATAAAGTATCCAGATAAAGAGGTGGTTGCTTGAGAACAAACGGCAGATCAAAACGCTGGAGCCAGCTCTCCTGAACTCCACCCTGTTCTTTATTTAACTGGGTCAATTATGTTACTTTTAATCTTTTCCAGGTTTTTTTTTTTTTGGACTTTTTAAAATTTCTTTTTTAGTACTCTACCACTTTGAGCCACAGCTCCACTTCTGGTTTCCTGATGATGAATTGGAGATTAGTCTCCTGGACTTTCCTGCCCAAGCTGGCTTTGAACCAAAAGACTCAGATCTCAGCTTTCTGAGTAGCTGTGGTTACAGGTGAGGGCCACTAGTATCCAGCTCAGATTTTCCTGATTACCCGAGGTGAGTTAACAGGCAGACAAGCTGTGTCATGTAGCATAGCACGCATGCATATTCTGGACACAGTGGTTTTGCCACGTCATTTTCTTTTTTGCTTTAGTCCTGGGGGTTGAACTCAGGCCCGGGGCACTGTCCCTGAGCCTCTATGTGCTCAATACTAGCACTTGAGTCAAGTGCCACTTTCGGCTTTTTCTGTGAATGTGGTACTGGGGAACCAAACCCAGGGCTTCACGAGACGAGCACTCTACCCCTGAGCCACATTCCCAGCCTGGGACCTCATCCCTGCCGGACACTTCAGGCTCTTTTCTTTCTTTCTTTTTTTTTTTTTTTTTTGGCGGTTGTGGGGCTTGAACTCTGGGCCTGGGCGCTGTCCCTCAGCTCTTCAGCTCAAGGCGAGCACTCTACCACTTGAGCCACAGCGCCACTTCCGGTTTTCTAGTGGTTTATTGGGGATAAGAGTCTCCGGCTTTCCTGCCGGGGCTGGCTTTGAACCGTGATCCTCAGATCTCAGCCTCCTGAGTAGCTAGGATTACAGGCGTGAGCCACTGGCGCCCGGCTTTTTTTCAGGCTCTTTTCTTGAGCCTCATTTGCATTTAGCCTTCCAGAATTCCAGGACCAGTAGAATCGGGCTGAATCCTTGCAAACCACAAGAGGCTCCCAGCGGTAGTCTATCGACCCCGCTCCCCCTGGAGGGTGGGGTTAGGGTTACATAGGCGTGTCCACTCCAGTCCCCGGCACTGAGGTCAGTGGCCAGGCTCCGGCGTCCCCTGCGCTTGGGCCGTCGTCCGGGTGCGTGGCTCTTCTAAGAGGATCCCAGGTGAAGAATCAACGCTGAAGACACACCAGCTCAGACCAACCTCGATCTCAGCCTCCTGAGTACCTCGCATTACCCGTCTGCCTAGCGTTTTCCACGGAAAGTTTCGGAGATCCTTTTCTGATCGGCCTGTGTATAGGCGCGACAAACTAGAGGCGGAGATACCTTTTATCCAATCAGAGAGCTACTTACACGCCCCTCGCGCCGGCCCGCGCCATCTTGTGACCAAGGCGCCATTTTTGAGTCAAACCTTACACCAAACACTTCGGCCCTGACTGCCCGCCTCTCCCTTCGGACTCCAGTCCTGCAGGCTTCCTCCGGGAAGCCCTCCCCGAGCCGCTCCGGGGCCCTCCCGGTCGCTGCTCCCCGCAGCCCCTGGCGCTCGGAGCAGAGTCCGCTCTCAGCACTCGAGGTTAATGCCAAGTTACCCCAGGGACCGAATCCCGCGGGGAGGCCTCGGGTGTGAGCCCTGCACTCTCGAGCCCAGGGGCAGAAACTGCTTCTCGCCCTGGGTCCCCGCTGCGAGAGGCGCTGTCGCAGCCAGCCGGCCCGCAGGGTGGGCTTTGGAATACAAGACGCGTGGACTACATTCCCCAGCAGCCCCGGGAATCCTGACTACATTTCCCAGGTGGCGTCGCGCGGACGGCGGAGGGGGTGGGGCGGAAGCATATATAAGCCGGTGGCAGCGCCTAGTCAGTCCTTTTTCCCCGCCGCCGCTGCTCTTCTCTATGGCCCCTCGTACATCTCGTTTCCGTTTCTTACCCCATCGCTCCCTTTCGCTCCTCTCACCTCTTTACGGCCTCCCTGTTAACAGTCTGGTTATCCCCCAAGGCTGCGGGATGGGGAGTGCAGCTTCCCGACCTTCTTTCCTGGGCTGCAGAGATGGTGGCGGCCGCATGCGCAGACAGGGGCCGGAGTCTCCTGGCCGGCGCCCTCCGCCCCGGCCTGCGCCGGGGGCTCGCTGAGGTCTGACGGGTGAGTGTGCACCAGAAGCGTGGTCTGTAACGCTCCTGGGGCTGCAGAGCTGACCTGGGCCCGGGGTGAGGAGGTACAAGTAACATGGCCCGACTTGCCGGGAGCCCTTGGATTTTGGATCAGGCCTAATTTGGGGAAGACGTAGCAGACGTCAGGCCTTAGTTTACAGTATGCTTGGTCCAGTCGCTAGCGCTGGTAAATCGACAGGAGGGATGGCTTTAAAAACAGGAGTGGGGGTCTGGGAGGTGGCTCAGTGGTAGAGTGTGGTGCTGTCGCTCCAGTGGTAAAGTGCTAGCCTTGTGCCAAAGCAGCTCAGGGACAGTGCCCAGGCTCTGAGTTCAAGGCCAGCACTGCCAAGAAACAAAAAAAGAACATTTTGGTGGCCGGGCCCTAGATGCTCATACCTGTAATCGGGATCAGCTGCTTGGTTTTGAGGTCCAGGGGGCCCTTATCGAAGCTGCAACTGCTTCCTCATAGCTGCTGTGGTCAAAAAGGAGCCCAGAGTAAGTTTTTTCCTTGACGGTCGCTGTTCTGTTTGTTGTAACTGATCTGCAACATTTTCGGGAAAAAACAATTCCATTATGGCTGCCATTTCTCAGGGGTAGGTTCCACAGGCCGGCAAAAAAATGTTTGAATCTTGTTTAGCCTAATAAGAACGATATCCTCAGTTTAACTTAGGTCAGTACCTCCCACCAAAAAATATTAGGATTTTTTGCATGTCATCAGAATAGGGATTTTGAGAAGTCACTTAGTAGATCCAAGAGTCGTTTGAGGAGCAACTGGAGAATGTTGGACATGGATTCTACGATCAGCTGGACATACAATGCTGTGTTTTCAGGAGCAAAGGCCGTTCCGACCTTTGTTCCTGATAAGGAGGTGAAGGGAACAATAGGATGATGGTGTTCTCGCCTGTTTTAGCTGTGTTTGGTGAAAGTTGGATGGTGGCTGGAGAGTGAGGACTGCGGGGGACGTGATACTGACGAGATACTTCACAGGGCCAGGTACTGGGGGACCACTTCCCGGGACATACATACAGCATGTTTCCAAGGGCTGTGGCTGATTGTGGCCATGGGATCTCCAACTGCATGCGAGAACAACTTGGAGAGACTTTGACAGCTCAGGTCTGCACAATACCTGTAGCTGCCACTCGCCTTTCCTATAATGTATTCATACCTGAGTTCAAGTGTGATTCTGCAGCTTTCATGTATGTAGGTGGGTCTGCTGGTCACTCTCCATTTTGTTTTCATGCTTACCTTTGTTCTGCAGGTTTTCCCGAGTTTCCTTACAGTAATTGTCATTAGAAAACTTCAAGGGAGCTCACCTGTGTTTGGAGATGTTTAAGGTAAAGTCTTAATGCTTTTATCAGCTTGACCCTCTTCCCTTTCCCATCGGATCTGAATGCTGGTCTTGGTGGTCGTAAAGGAGGGAAAGTGATGGTGAAGCTCGCTCATACTGCCTTGCAGTCTGGCATAGCGCGTGAGCTTGTTTCAAACAGGATTGAATGATCAGGTCTTCCATTAAGTGGGGGCTGCTCTGAGAATGAAATATGAACCTCTAGGCAGTCAGTGCAGCAATTACTGAATTAGTACATTTGGGAAGTTTTAATTAAAGTGTCTTTTTTTTTTTTTTAGATCTAACTAGCAGAACAACATTCTGATTATCTACAGAGTTGGGTAAGTTAATGACTTTAGAACCCTTTCCTTAAGCAGTATAGCAAATATAGTTAGGTTTTTAGAGGGTCATTTTATAATTTTGATGGGTGTTTGCAGCTTAACTTGGTCTGTTACACTGTACACCGTCAACCATATGTGCCCACTGCCGGTCCTTGCTGTGGACCAAGCTCTCAGTGCTGTGCAGTGGGTAGCTTGTGACACATCTGACATGAACTCCCCATCTATAACATAGGATAAGGAACAGAAACAAGTAGCTGAAGGTTTTTTAGGCTTACTGGTCCAGGATGAAACCTAATCTGAGTGGACATCTATGGATGAGAAATGCGGATATGGGACTGAGACCAGCTTTTAGGTATCTGCTTTGGTGGGGGAATAGTAGGGCAGAACTAACTCACCGGTTCACACTTCCTTTTCAGGAGAGGAGCTTCTCAGGAAATACGCTGGCAAGAGAGAACTGACTACACTTCAATAAAATATCTGCAAGCAGATAGTTGATGTGCATGCCCTATCTGGCATATACACCTACCTCTAATTACAGATGATAAATAAAAGGTTTCTGCCTATGTTTTGTCAGTTCCTTGGTTAATACATTTACTAGGTCATCTAAAGAGGGTGGCCTGAGCTTTTTTGCTCAAGGCTAGCACTTTACCTCTTTAAGCTATGACTTCACTTTATCTGGAGGTTACATGAAGAGTCTTAACTGACTTCCTGTCTGGTGGGCTGGCTTTGAACTGTTACTTAGATCCCGGCATCTTGGTGGTTAGGATTACAGGCTGAGAGTCACCAGCACCTGGCTAACGAGAACTTTGAGCATTTTAACTCACAGCTGGTAATGGAAGACTAATTACCCAATAATTCGGGTCAGGTTGGCTACGTAGTCTTGGATCTAGCCAGCTTTCTAAAGTGGCTATTGCCCGGGGTAGGGCCTTATTTCAAACCAGCAACCATCTGATATTGCCCAAAAGGAGGGAAAAGAGGGACAATGAATTCCCTAACCACAGCATGGACAAGACTTTCTCCTTACTACTAAATAAAGCTTTTGGCCTTTCTGAGGCTGCATCTTGTGGCTTGAGCATTGTCCCTGAGCTTTGTTTTTGCTTATGGCTCATTCATGTTCTACCATTAGAGCCATAGCTCTAATGCCATTTTTGCTGGTCATAGGGTATGTCTCTGGATCTTAGCCTCCCTAGTTGCTAGGATTACAAACCCCTGGTACCCACCCCACAGGGAATTTCATCATGTAGCAGAGGTAAGGGTAGAGAAAGATAATGGACTTGGGTATACAAAAGTATAAAGGGTGGCTTGAGCAACCACCTCCCTTATTCTCTTAAGCCACCAGATCTGTAAGACATTGCATTTCAGTAGCTGGTAACACATCTGTCTCTCACTAGGCCTTGTATACAGACAGCTTTGGTTTTAGGTCATGCCACTCTACTTCTGGTCCCTGATTCTCTAACAATCTTTTGGGGGTAGAGGGAGTCTCCAGAGTAACATGCTGATATCTAGTCCTTTGTTCCCCTAGGCTCTAGCTCTGCTTGCAGAGCTGTCTGTCTCTAGTCCTCTTGGTACAGATTAGTCTCCTTTGCATTTGTGTCAGTTGGTCCTATGATTGTATTCCACAAACAGCCTTACCAGATGAAGGCAGTAGGGTTGCAGAAATGCTCATCTCAGGAAATAGTTTATTTAAATCTTACAAATCATTTCTAAAAGTAAAAGCGGACAGTTTAAAAATGTGTCCAATTGCTAATAGTCCATCCTCCTTTGTCCTCTGTCCCAGCTACAACAGAGCAGGGATCTCTGAGGACACAGTGTCCAAGGGCTGCCAGTGACAGTCCATAAGTGCATCATACAGCTCCTCGCTCTGCTCCATGAATTCTTTGTTGGCCTCTGTCACGTCCAGTTGTGGCATGGGATCTGGGAAGACAGGTCAAGGGATATTAGAGGAACCATTGTGTATTGTACAAGGGTAAGGATAAAAAGGGCTGTCCAGCAGCAAAGCTAATGCTACCTGCAGGCCATCTGAGTTATACCACAAGACCCTGTCTCTGAAACAAACTGTAGGTGCCTCATGTCTATGCCTAGCTATTCAGAAGGCTGAGATGAGAGAAGTAAAGTCTATGAGACTCATTTCCAATTAACTACCAAAGAGCTGGAAGTAGAGCCATGACTCAAGTGGTAGAGCAATGAGTGAAAAGCCTAGACGAGACTGCCTAAGCACTGAGTTCAAGCCCAAGTGGCAGTGAAGCCTCCATTCAATCTCCAGGACTAAAATCACAAGAAATCCAAGCCAAACAAACACAACAAATTAAGATAAAAAAAAATAAAGTAAGCCAGGCATTGGTGGCTCACACCTGTAATCCTAGCTACTCAGGAGGCTGAGACCTGAGGATTGTGTTCAAAGCCAGCCCTGGCAGGAAAGTCTGAGACTCTTATGCAATAAACCACCAGAAAACCAGAAGTGGTGCTGTGGCCCAAGTGGTAAAGCCCTGAGCTGGAGAGCCGAGGGATAGTGCCCAGGCCCCATGACCGACAAAGTAAATTCTATGAACTTCAGCAAGGCATCAATCATTGTCGAAAATCCACCTCCCTAAGCCTTCTTTGCATTCCAGGGGTGATCTTGCTAATTACTTCAGCTCTCAGAAACCTGTAAGTTCCTCCAGAGCAGAATTTATCTTGCATTTATTTCTTTTTAATTGTGAAAATACCATACAGAAGTGTTACAATTACCTGGGCAAGATAATGAGTACATTTCTTTTTTTTTTTTTTTGTCAATTTTTTTTTTTTTTGGGGGGGGGGGGGGGAGGTCTGGTTGTGGGGCCTGAACTCTGGACCTGGGCGCTGTCCCTCAGTTCTTCAGCTTAAGGGTAGCGCTCTACCACCTGAGCCACAGCGCCACTTCTGGCTTTTTTCTATTTGCTTATGTGGTGCTGAGGAATCGAACCCAGGGCCTCAGGCATGCAAGGCAAGCCCTCTACCACTAAGCCACCTTCCCAGCCCACTGAGTACATTTCTTTTTTTTGGGGGGTCCGGTCGTGGGACCTGAACTCTGGGCCTGGGCGCTGTCCCTCAGCTCTTCAGCTCAAGGCTAGCGCTCTACCACTTGAGCCACAGCGCCACTTCCGGCTTTTTTCTTTTTGCTTATGTGGTGCTGAGGGCCTCATGCATGCAAGGCAAGCACTCTACCACTGAGCCACCTTCCCAGCCCTTGAGTACATTTCTTATCAAGCATTGTTGCTTCCTCCTCTGTTTCCCCTTCTCATCCCTTCCCATCTCCTCCTCACCCCCCCCCCTTACATTTTATTTCTTAGCATCTAGTTGAAGGTGCTGTGCTGGCCACGGGTGTCACGTTCTAACAGTTGATAGGAATAAAATCAGTGAACCAACTTACCTTCCAATGCATCATCTCCAACTTCTTCATATGTCTGTCAAGAGACCAGAGAGGTGAGTGAGGAGTCTGTTCCTTATTTTCCTCAAACAAGGTCTATGTAGCTCTGGTTAGCTTCAATTCCCAATCTTCTACCTTTGCCTCCAAATTGCTGGGCTTACAGATGTGAGCCACCAAGTCCAGCTTCAATGGTGGGTGTGTGTGCACATGCATGCATGCATACTGGTAGTCAGGGCTTGAATTCAGGGCCTGGGCACTGTCCTGGAACTCGTTTTTTTGCTTTTTTCCTTTTTTTTTTTTTTTTTTTTGGTCTATGGTGGAGCTTAAACTCAGCCTGGGTGCTATCCTGAACTTTTTCACTTGAGAGGCTAGAGATCTACCTCTTTAAGCCACAGTGCCATTTCTGGTTTTCTGGTGGTTAATTGGAGGTCAGAGTCTCACAGAGCTGGGTGCTAATGGCTCATACCTGTAATCATACCTACTCAGGAGACAGAAATCAGAGTTCAGTGCCAGCCTAGGCAGGAAAGTTTGAAACTCATCTCCCAATTAGCCACCAGAAAACTGGAAATGGCACTGTGGCTCAAAGTGGTAGAGCACTAGCCCTGAGTTCAAGCCCCACTACTGCCCCAAAAAACCCACAAAACAGTCTCTCTGATTTTCCTGCCTGGGCTAGCTTTAAACTATGATCCTCGGATCTCAGTCTCCTGAGTAGCTAGGATTACAGGCATGAGCCACTGGCACTCAGCTTCCCTAAGCTTTACTATTCAAGCCTAGTGCTCTAACACTCAAACCACAGCTCTACTTGCTTTTTTTGGGGGGGGTCTGTTGTAGGGCTTGAATTCTGGGCTTGGGTGCTGTCTGTGCGCTCTTCAACTCAAGGCGAGCGCTCTACCCCTTGAGCCCACAGCACCACTTCTGGTTTTTTAGTGGTTTATTGGAGATAAGAGTTTCATGGAGTTTCCTGCCTGGGCTGGCTCTGAACCATGATCCTCAGATCTCAGCCTCCTGAGTAGCTAGGATTACAGGTGTGAGCCACCAGTGCCAGGCAATAAGTGTCTTATAGACTTTCCTGCCTGGGCTGGCTTTGAACCATGATCCTCAGATCTCAGTCATAGCTAGGATTATAGCTGTCAGGCACTATTTCCTGGCTACAATGGCTTAGTGCTCTACCACTTTGAGCCACAGCTCCACTTTCAGTTTTCTGACTGTTAATTAGATATAGGAATCTCATGGACTCTCCTGCCTTGCTGGCTTCAAACCATGATCCTCATATCTTAGCCTCTAGAGTAGCTAGGTGCAAGCCATCGGTGCCTGGCACAATGGCTTATTTCTAACAAGAACTGGGTCACTTTAGTTTTCTTGTTTTTCTGAAACCTAAGTCCCTCCATTCTGGAAAAGGACCATGCTCCACAGGGCATTACCTAGAAGGCCAGAGGTGCCAAAGTGCAATTACCTGCATGGTGCTCTGGGTATAGCCGTACTGGGGGTAGCTGTAGCTGTAACTGCCTGTGTTCTGGTCATAGCCCCACTGGGCATAGTAGTTCTGGTACTGCTGGTAATACTGGTTGTAGCTGTAACTGTACATCTGACTATACTCCACTGGCTTTACACGGCTCCTTAAACGATGAAACAAAAATAGGCAAACATAAACAGACATGCCTATAACATTTTCTTTTTTTTTTTTCTTGTCGGTCGTGGGGCTTGAACTCTGGGCCTGGGTGCTGTCCCTCAGCTCTTCAGCTCAAGGCGAGTGCTCTACCACTTGAGCTACAGCGCCACTTCCGGTTTTCTGGTGGTTTATTAAAGATAGGAGTCTCACGGTCTTTCCTGCCCAGGCTGGCTTTGAACCGTGATCCTCAGATCTCAGCCTCCTGAGTAGCTAGGATTACAGGCGTGAGCCACCAGCACCCGGCAACTATAACATTTTCTATGCAATCAACTACTGTCCTAAGTGCTTTATGAAGAGTAATGCACTTAACCCTCAGAACAGCCTTATGCAGTTAGTATTCCAATTTTATAAACAAGGAAGCTGGGTATAGAGAGGTTAAGCATCGGCCCTTGGTTAGAGGTGCACAGCTAATAATACGACACTCACACCCAGGCAGTCTTTCTCCAGTACCCATGCTTTTACAATAAAAGCTTTTTGTTGTTTTTGAGACAAAGTCTTGCTACGTGGCCCAGGCTGGCTTTGAACTTGCAATTCTCCTGCCTCTGTTTCCTTTTTGCTACAATTACAAACATACCCGGCTTAAGCTTTGAATAGGTTTCGCTATCTTATCAAACCTTCTCTCTCTCTCTCTCAAAATCTTGGGACACTGTTTTTTCTGATAGTTGCAAAATCCCAGAAAAACATACTTAGAGAAAAATCTGGATTTACAATGATCCAAGCATTTCAAACTACGACATATCTGATTGCTTTCCCCCCAAACAGCAGGACAGATATTCTGGCAGAATTATCATTATCACTGTAATGATGCTCTTTTGTTTTTGGTACTAAGGATGGAACCCAGGGCCTTGCCACATGCTCAACACCACTGAGCTACATCCCAACCATGGCTACCATTTACTTGAGGATTTGTGTCCTTCATTAGCTGGGATTTGTAGCACTGACAGTCACCTGTTTTCACTCTGCACACCCCAACAACAAAGGTATTACTGATTAATTCCTACTATTACAGATGAGAAAACTGAGTCTAAAGTTACTTGCCCAATGTAATGCTTAAGACTGGAGCCAGATTTAATGCCAAGATTTATGCACCTAATACCACACTATTATATACAACATCTGCCTGACAAGCTCACATGTCACCAGTATTCTATATCCTGCATTCACTTGTCAAGGCCAGGCCCAAGCTGGAGGAAAGCATTCTCAATACAGTGGCTACAACCACTCCCAACCAAAGACAATGCCAAACTCACAAAGGATCCACAGCTTTCCAGGATGGAAAAACCATGTGTGAAGCTTATGAGAGGGATCATAAGAATGGACTCAAATTCAGCACAGGGCAACGGGCTTCCAGTCACTGTACTCCAAGCAGCCTGACAGTGTCTTCTAAGTGTCAGGAGAGGTTGACACTTGCTTCTGGATGGCTTACAAAGTCCCAAGAGTCCCATCAAGTACACTTGGTCCTAACAAGTGTGACACAGAATCTCTACAGCAAGCTAGACAGGAAACCAAGCTATAAACAGGAGCAGACTATCATTAAAATGACTTTAGGAATTGAAATCCTATGTACAAGTAAAGATAATCCATCTCTAAATCAATCAACTTCCATTCCGGAAATTGCAAACACTCCATGCCAGAAAGAGCTCTAAATTTCTTGAAATTCAATGCCTGCAGGCCTCAGGCAGAGTTGTAAGGTGGATTCAATGTTTGTCTGTGGACAGTCTGAAGTGCTCACCTCCACTGGAGGGTCAGTCAAGGCTGCAGGCAGTCTCCTCTCCTCCTGCCCAGCACTAGCTTGGGTACTCCCAACATTCACCTCTATGACCCGCCCCTTTTATGATTCCAAGGGGATGGACTACTCCCATGTTCAGTAACTGAAGTACAGACTCCCTGGCCTAGGTCTGTTTTTTCTCCTTCAGACATCTGCGCCCACTTTTGTGATTTCTCTATATAGCGGGTGCAGTCATTCCCCAGGGTACCTGCTCACCCTCACTCTGGGCTGGAGACACTTCCCTAGAAGCAGCACCGTTACTGACAAAAATTGTTTTGTTTTGTTTTTTGCTGGTCTTGCAGCCTGAACTCTAGGCCAGGGCGCTGTCCCTCAGCTCTTCAGCTAAAGGGTAGCGCTCTATCACTTGAGCCACAGAGCCACTTCTGGCTTTTTTTGCCTATGTAGTACTGAGGAATTGAACCCAGGGCCTCATGCATGCAAGGCACTCTACCACTGAGCCACCTTCCCAGCCCACAAAATGTTTAATGAGGAATAGATACAACAAGGTAGCACCTCCTCACCAAATAAGTCCAAGTACAGCTGTAATCTCAAGGAAGGGCCTTCACAAGCTGCTGACTGAACGGTTTCACACCCGTAACAGCCAAAATGGTCAGCATGAGAGGAACTGCTAAACAGAACAAGCTTATAAACAAACTTAAAAAAGTTCAGCCGGAGCTGGGTGCTGGTGGCTCACATCTGTAATCCTCGCTACTCAGGAGGCTGAGATCTAAGGATCACAGTGCAAAGCCAGCCCAGGCAGGGAAGTTCATGAGACTGTTTCTTTTTTATTGGTCATGGGGCTTGAACTCTGGGCCTGGGGACTGTCCCTCAACTTCTCAGCTCAAAGTAAGTGCTCTACCACTTGAGCCACAGCGCCACTTCCAGTTTTCTGAGTGGTTTATGGGAGCTAAGAGTTTCACAGACTTTCCTGCCTGGGCTGGTTTTGAACCTTGATCCTCAGATCTCAGCTTCCTGACTAGCTAGGATTACAGGCATGAGCCACCAGCATTCAGCTCCGAGAGACTCATCTCCAATAAACCACTAGAAAACAGAAAGTGGCATCATGGCTCATGAGGTAGAGAGCTAGCCTTGAACTGAAGAGCTCAGGGGCAGCGTTCAGGCCCTACAACAGACCAAAAAGAAAAGAAAAACAATCTTAGGCTGGGTGCCAGTGGCTCATGTTTGTAATCCTACCTACTCAGGAGGCTGAGATCTGAGGATCATGGTTCAAAGCCAGACTCATCTCCAATTAACCACCAGAAAACCAGAAGTGGTACTGTGGCTCAAGGGTACAACACTAGCTTTGAGCTGAATAGCTCAGGGACAGAATTCAGACCCAGAGTTCAAGCCTCACACCTACCAAAAAAAATTTGGCTTGGGTGTAGCCAGTGGTAGTAGTGTGCTTAGTGTTCCCAAGGCCCTAGCACCCTCACTGATAATGACTGTGCAATTGTATGAAAGTATGTACTGTATGAAAGTACGTACACGTCTGCCTTCACTGAGAAAAGAAAAAATATTACTGCTCTTTTGTTTTGTTTTTTAAACAGAGTCTCTATCAAGCCCAGGATGCATACTTGAACTTAAGATTCTCCTCCCTCCACCTTCCAAGTGTCTGCATCATGGACATGTGCTGACCATGCTTGGCTCTATAGTGAACACTGCTGGTTTTATTTTGTGCTGGTACTGGGGCTTGTACTCGAGGCCTGGGCACTGTCCCTAAGTGTTTTCACTTAAGGCTAGTGCTTTACCACTTGAACTATAATTCCAATTCTGTTGATCATGTTGGTGCTCTACCACTTGAGTCTTACCTCTTAATTCCAGCTTTTTGTTGGTTAACTGAAAAAAAAAAAAAAAAAAAAAGAGTCTCTCATGTTTTTCTGCCCAGGCTGGCTTCAAATCTCACTTGTCAGATCTCAGCCTCCTGAATAGTTAGGATCACACGTGTGAGCCACCAATGCCCCGCATGAGCATCATTATTATCTGTGTATGTTTGTGCAAGTCCTGGGGCTTGAACTCTGGGTCTGGGCTCTGACCGAGACCACCTTTTTGCTCAAGGCTAGTGCTCTACCACTTGAGCCACAGCTCAACTTCTGGCTTTTGATAGTTTAGTAGAAATAAGAGTCTCACACAAACTTTTCTCCCAAAGCTGGCTTTGAACCGCAACACTCAAATTTCAGTGTCCTGAGTAGCTAGGATTACAGGTGTGAGCCACTGGCACCTGGCTTGTGAGCATTATTTTTGTAATTAAAAAAAAATGTGCATAGACCCTAGGTTCAACTCCTTGCACTTTAAAAGGAAAGAAAAAGAAAGGGAAAAAGATAAAGAAAGAGGAAAGAAAGAAGGGACATGAATGAATTTTAAAAAAGATCTAGCTGGTGCGAGGTTTGATGCCAACCAGACCCAGGCAAAAATCCTATTTGATAAATAAAGCAAAAAGAACTAGGGCCTAAATAAATAGAGAACTCCTAACAAGAACAAAGTCCTGAGTTCAATCTCTAATACCATCTGAATAAAATAAAACCCAACATATATGTAAATTGACTTGTGCAGTTACTATGAAAAAAATGTGTATGGAGATTAGAAGGGAACTAAGAAATTATAGTTACTTTGTTTTGAGACAGGCTTTTGATGTAGCCTAGGCTGGTTTCAAACTGATTCTTCTCCCTCAGTCTCCCAACTCCTGGGATTAGAGGTGTGTACCACTACACCTGGCCATAGTTGTTCCATTTTATTTTTTTCGGGTCACAGGACTTGAACTCTGGGCCTGGGCACTGTCCCTCAGCTCTTCAGCTCAAAGCTAGCACTCTACCACTTGACCAAAGTGCCACTTCCAGCCTTTTCTGTTTATGTGGTGCTGAGGAATCGAACTCAGGGCCTCATGCATGCGAGGCAAGCATACTACCACTGAGCCACCTTCCCAGCCCCTCATTTTATTTTTGTATCAATACTAGGGTTTGAACTTAGGGTTTAGGGGCTATCCCTTAAGCTTTTTGGTGCTCTTACTACTTGAACCACAACTCCACTTCCAGTTTTTCAATGATTAATTCAACATAAGAGTCTCTTGGGTTTGTCTGCCCTGGTAAGTCCAGGACTCTGCAGGACTCACGCTTTTGGGATGGCCACACTCAGCCGCACAGGTTTAGACCCCAGTCCTACTGCTCCCTGGCACTCCGTCAGGGCTCGCTTCTGTTCCAATTCATCTGTGAATTTCACAAAACCATAACCCCTGCAGGAAAAAAACCCCAACATGCTATTTAGATCACAAGTGTGATAAAGTCTAAGAATGGAGGCACGGAAAAAAAGGGAAGGGCAAGAAGGCGGGCAGGAATGTGCAAAGGAAAAGGGTTGAGAAGGGAAAGTCCATCTAACAATAAAAAAGGATGAGTCCCATTGGGAAGGCATTCACACAGGGAAATATGGGATGCATGCACTGGACCATACTGAAATAGTAAGAATTTCTTTTATTTTCTCACCCCCTTCCCCTCCCCACTCCCACCCCCTCTGAGAGCTTGTCCCGACTTCCAAGGTTGTCAGAGGGTGACTTTGGGGGGAAGCCTGGAGAACTTTTCTGTAGCCCCCCTGCAGAGAATTTCTGCTTTGAAGCCCTGGCCTCTGGAGCATAGGAAATTCCTTGTGGACCCCAGTCTGGCCCAACCCATGGGACAGATCCAGATTTTTATTTTATTTTTGGTCAGTCGTGGGGCTTGAATTCTAGACCTGGGCACTGTCACTGAGTTCACTTGAGCCATGGGGCCACTTTTGGTTTGCTGGTGGTTTATTGGAGGTAAGAGTCTCATGGACTTTCCTGCCCAGGCTGGCTTTGGACCTCAGTCCTCAGATCTCAGCCTCCTGAGTTGCTAAAACTATAGACATGAGACACTGGCAGGCGGTGGAAGTCCCACTTTCAGTTTTCCATTTTTCATGTCTTCACTTAAGGAGCTCCTTCTCTCCCTATCCTCTGGAGAGTAACAAATCATGATCACTATTGTGATGTAGCGGTAATAACAACAGGTGAAGTTTTAAGTATTTTCAAACCCCCTTATTTGCCCTGCAGGCACCAGGCATGGGATGCAGAAGTCATGAACAGACCTGATTCTTGCTTTCTTGAGGTCATATTATAGCTGGAAAATAAATTAACAAAGCCAACTTACTTGCCAAGCACTGTGCTGAATTTTTTTTTTTTTTTTTTACGGTTTTCTCATTATACTCCAACAAGTATATGAAGGTAGAGGTTTGATAGGTTTGGAGAGGTTTGATAACATGTCCAAAGTCATATGTAGTAAAAGCAGTATTAAAATCCACATCTGGGGGCTGGGAAGTTGGCTCAGTGGTAGAGCGCTTGCCTTGCATGCCTGAGGCCCTGGGTTCGATTCTCAGCACCACATAAGCAAAAAGAAAAAAAAACCGGAAGTGGCGCTGTGGCTCAAGTGGTAGAGCGCTAGCCTTGAGCTGAAGAGCTGAGGGACAGCGCCCAGGCCCAGAGTTCAGGCCCCATGACCGGACCCAAAAAAAAAAAAAAAAAAATCCACATCTGCCAGACTCCTAGAATCTGAGCTTATAACTACTATGGTGGTCAAGAATGAGTCTTTCTTGGGCTAGGGGAATAACCTATACTTGCCTAGCATGTATAAGGCTTCTAGGTTCAATTTTTTCTTGTTTGTTCAGTTGTGGGGCTTGAACTCAGGCCTAAACCCTATCCCCACGCTCTTTTGCTCAAAGCTAGTGTTGTACCATTTTGAGCTACAACATCACTTCTGATTTTTTTGGTAGTTAATTGGAGATAAGTCTCACAGGGACATTTCAGCCCAGCTGGCTTTGAGCCTCAATTCTCAGATCTCAGCCTCATAAGTAGCTAGGATTATAGGCATGAGCCATTGGAGACCAGCCTCTAGGTTCAATTTCTAGCACAGTAAAAGGAAGGAAAGGAAAGGATACAAAACCGTAAAACAAAAACTGAGAATGAGACTAAGATTTTTTTTTTTCCTCCCTTTTTTTGAGATAGGCTGGCCTTGAACTCACAATCCTCTTGTCTCAGCTTCTCAACTGCTAAGATTAAAGATGTACACCATCCTACCCAGTTTGAGATGAAACACTAACTGCACTGAAAGGTTCAGTTAACAATAATAAGGGTGGGCTGGGAACGTGGCTTAGTGGCAGAGTGCTTGCCTAGCATGCATGAAGCCCTGGGTTCAATTACTCAGTACCACTTACACAGAGAAAACAAGAAGTGGTGCTGTAGCTCAAGTGGTAGAGTGCTAACCTTGAGCAAAAACAGCTTAGGGACAGTGCCCAGGCCCTGAGTTCAAGCCCCAGGACTGGCAAAAAACAAAACAAAAAAATAATAATAAGTATAAAAGTTTAACAATAAAGTATAAAATAAATAAAGTATAAAAATAAATGCAAACACTAAATAATTTTCTATGTGAGTAATTCCCCCTCCCCCCCATCCTGAGGCTTGAACTCAGGGTCTGAGCTCTGTCCCTGAGCTTCTTTTGCTCAAGGCTAGCGCTCTACCACTTGAGCCACAGCGCCACTTCTGCCTTTTTCGGTTATGTGGTACAAAGGAATAGAACCTGGAATTCATGCATGCTAGGCAAGCACTCTACCACTAAGCCACATTCCCAGCCCCTATGTGAGTAATTTATATCCTTTAATCCTTACATCAATCCTAAGAAAAATACTTTTTGGCCCCTTCTACAGATGAGGAAAAGAGTCAGGAAAGTTCAGCATCTGTGTAGTCCCTCCTCTAGTAATGGAGCTGGGATTCAAATGAGGTAGGTATGCTCCAGGGCCTGTGATGAGCCACCGTGCTCCCATCTCTCTGGAATGCTTCCCTCCAGGAAAGAACAAAGATGTCTAACACAGTGGACATCAGTAACACATGAGGCCTTACTTAGACACGCCAGTCTGGTCCAAAACCACCTTGCCTCCCCGACAGGAGGGGTAGACTTTGACGAAGAATTCATACAGCATTCCATCATCCACATCTGGGGTCAGGTCCCCCACAAAAAGGGAGTACTCGGGGCTGAGAGGAGAGAACAACAGTCAGGGACAAATGTCAGGCTCTGCTCTGAAGGACTCTGGCCACAGTGCAGATAAAAATCTCCAGGGCCATCCTAGGAAACACTCCATTTGATCAGTCCATTTAACCTGTTTTTCCTCCCCTCTAAGTTTAACTTGCATCATTATGGTTCTAGAAGAAGGACAAAGCCTGTCTGGCTTCATATATTACATGAATACATGGAGATGGATCAGAGGAACAGCCCTGAAAGGCTGAAAAGACTAAACTTGGCCAGGTGCTAGTGGCTCATGCCTATATTCCTGGCTACTAAGAAGGTGGGAAGTGGAGCTGTGGCTCAAGTGGTAGATTGAAAAAAGTAGAGTGAAAAAAATCAAAGAGACAGCACCCAGACCCTGAGATAATGCTTTAGTACCAGCACACATACAGCCCACAAAATGTTGTTTCGAAAGGCTCAGGGTGGGGCTGGGAAGGTGGCTCAGTGGTAGAGTGCTTGCCTTGCATGCATGAGGCCCTGGGTTCGATTCCCCAGCACTACATAAGCAAAAAGAAAAAAAAAGCTAGAAGTGGCACTGTGGCTCAAGTGGTAGAGCACTAGCCTTGAGCTGAAGAGCTGAGGGACAGTGCCCAGGCCCAGAGTTCAGGCCCCACGACCGGACCCAAAACATCATTATCCTCTGGGACCTCCAGAGTAGCTGAGATTCGGCTGGGAATTTGGCTTGGTGGTAGAGTGCTTGCCTAGCATGCATGAAGCCCTCAGCTTCATTCCTCAGTACTACATAAACAGAAAAAGCTGGCAGTGGCGCTGTGGCTCAAGTGGTAGAGTGCTAGCCTTGAGCAAAAGCAGTTCAGGGACAGTGCCCAGGCCCTGAGTTCAAGCCTCATGAATGACAAAAGAGAGAGAGAGAGAGAAAGAAATTGTTATTTTGAATACATTGGGCACCAGTGGCTCACACCTGTAATCCTAGCTACTCAGGAGCTGAGATCTCAGAATCAAGGTTTAAAAATAGCTCAGCTAACAAATCCAAGAAACTTTGATCTCCAATTAACCAGCTAAAAGCCAGAACTGGCACTGGAGACATGACTAAAGTGGCAGAGTGCCAGCTTTAAAGCAAAAAAGCTGAGGAAGAGCACTGCCAACCCTCACACACACAAATTTCAAATAGCAACCTGAAATGGCAATCACTTTTTGTTGGTATAATAGGCGTATTCTTCCTATTAAATAAAACCTAATGCTGTGGAAGCTAACAGGGTGGAGGGCTAGGGGAAGAAGCAAGTATTGAAAAGATATGGCCTTGACACAACACACACCTAAGAAAGGCCTACTAATGGGGAAGTGGAATATGTCTTTCTCAGGAGAGGCAAGCAAAGGCAAACTCTGCTCCTCTTTCTAAGTCTGGCAAAGTGATGCATCTTGCCTCTAACTAGACATGCTGTGGGGCTATACTTTGAGGCTGTACTTACCTGTTATCTGGTTGTTTCCCATAAGTGGCATAGTTCAGTTTAAACCGTTTTGCCTGGAAATTTAAAAACAGACAGACTAAAACAGAGAAAGGTGTTTCAAGAGTCAAACAATGTTTGAAAAAAACTGAAATAAATTACCTTGGCCAAAACATCTCCCCCTCTCTAAGCCTCAGCCTTTCCTCCTGTATAAAATGAGGGGGTTGCACGGATGACCATTAAGGGCACTGCCAGCTCCGTGGTTCTATGAGCCCAGGTGTGCCAGCTGGTGAGCTGTAAGCTAAGTAACTGTAGGAAGAGCAGAATGTAACTCTCTTGAGAAGTGTTCTTGCTGCTGCCAGCCTGTTCTAGCTTCTCAATCAGGCAAAAGACCTATAGTTTCAAGTCTTCTGTCACAGGAGGCAGTGATGAGGAGTGGGAAGGGCATGGGTTTCCAAGGCAACCAATCTTCTGAATCTTGGCACTGTCACTTACTACCTGTGTTGCCTTGAGCAAGTTATTTCACTTCCCTGAGCTTCCTTACCTGGTCTGTCAAAGATAGCAATGCCTACTGTACCGGCTGTTAGAGGATTCAATAAAATGAAGTAAGTATCCAGTAGGGAGTCAGTGAATGGTGAGACTCAATGACAATAAAAATGGCAACATCATCATTATCTAAATGTCCTTACAGGTGTGGCTCCTGGAAGGGGTTTCCCATTAATTTTATGCAAACACTTCTCAGCTGTGGCCAAATCTGCGAATTCTACAAAACAGTAGCCAGCTGGGATCCTGGAATGTAAACACAGAAAGAGAATGGTTAAAGATACTCAGGTAAGCTGGGCTCCAGTGGTTCATACCTGTAATCCTAGCAACTCAGGAAGATGAGATCTGAGGATCATGGTTCATAGCCAGACTGGGCCGGAGAGTCTGTTCTTATCTCCTGTTAACCACAAAAGGCTAGAAATAAGAGTTGTAGCTCAAGTGGTAGAGCACTAAGCTTGAACACAACAAGGTCAGAAACAGTGCTCAGGTCTTGAGTTCAAGTCCCAGGACCAGGAGAAAAAAAAAAAAAGGTAGTCAGGTAAGTCTTGGTCTGAAGGGAGAACTACATTCCTATCAGAACTGGTTTTGCTCTCGACCACACTTCACTTAAGAAAAAACTTACAGCCTGTAAAAAAACTTATGCCTAGCCGGGCGCTGGTGGCTCACGCCTGTAATCCTAGCTACTCAGGAGGCTGAGATCTGAGGATCGCGGTTCAAAGGCAGCCAGGGCAGGAGAAACCGTGAGACTCCTATCTCCAATAAACCACCAGAAAACCGGAAGTGGCACTGTAGCTCAAGTGGTAGAGTGCTCGCCTTGAGCTGAAGAGCTGAGGGACAGCGCCCAGGCCCAGAGTTCAAGCCCCACGACCGACAAAAAAAAAAACAACTTATGCCTGTAATCCTAGCTACTCAGGAGGATGAGATCTGAGGATTGTGGTTCAAAGCAGGCCCAGGCAGCAAAGTCCTTGAGCCTCTTCTCTCTAATTAACCACCAGAAATCCAGAGTGGCACTGTGGCTCAAGTGGTAGAGCGCTCACCTTGAGCTGAAGAGCTAAGGGACAGTGCCCAGGCCCAGAGTTCAAGCCCCATGACCAACCAAAAAAACAAAACAAAACAAAAGCCAGAAATGGCACTGTGGCTCAAGTGGTAGAGTGCTATCCTTGAGCAAAAGAAGCTCAGAGACAGTGCCCAAGTCCCGAGTTCAAGCCCCAAGACTGGCAAAAATAAAAAACAACAAACAGAAAAAAACTTCTGCAAGGATGGGAAAGACTGACTTGCCTGGGACTTTCATAACATCTAACTGCAGCCTAATGAAGCATGGAGAAGCCAGCTTGACAGACATACCAAACCACTGAGGCAAAGCCAATAACTTGAGGACACTTCAACACATCAAGCTTCTCTGCCTATCAATCCAGACAGCCTGCTGGTTGCAATAATATCACTTGGATTAATTGATCTTTATGTCACTTTATGTCACTGTGCGGATCCCTATCTGGTAACTTTTTGTTTTGTTTTTTTTGTCGGTCATTGGGCTTGAACTCCAGGCCTGGGCGCTGTCCCTCAGCTCTTCAGCTCAAGGCAAGTACTCCTACCACTTGAGCCACACAGCACCATTTCCAGTTTTCTGGTGGTAAATTGGAGATAAAAGTGTCTCGGGACTTTCCTGCCCAGGCTGGCTTTGACCGAGATCCCCAGATCTCCTGAGTAGGTAGGATTTCAGGTATGAGTCACCAGCACCAGCATTCCATATTATTTTAATGTGACTACATTATATATTATACCTTTAAAATACAATTTTTGGGATAAAATTAAAGCTCATGCTTTAGATATATTGGGACCAGCACAATGCTACTAGCTATCTTAAAATTAAGTAAAGATATCCATATATTTAGATACTTCTGACCAAATGACCTCAAGTATAACACAGGGTTTACATACTTTTATACTAAGCACTTAGTTTGGTGATATTACATAACTATAGGTATCCTCATCTTAATTTAAATTTTATTCTGTTTCTTTTGCATAGTCTTCTGAATCAGATTAAAAGCTGCAACAAATATAAAAAAAATACCATGCAACCCAAGGTAACTATGGCCATTACAATGGATCACTGTTCTCCCTAAGCAAGGCTGAAGGCACACTTGACTGAGTACAAAGGCATATGTCAAGAATGCTTACATGACATGAGTCACTTAGGCAAGGTGTAGAAACACATACAACAAAACGGTGACTCTGGTTCTTGTCCTTGACCCGTATCCAAGAAAACAGGTAGATTACTCTTATCCTTGATCCGAATCCAAGGAAATAGATAGATTACTCAAGAATATTAGATTATTCTTCTACTAGAATTATATATACCTTGCGATTAATAGAGAAATTCACTACGCTTCACTAGTTATATAAAAGTCTATTGCCTTTCCCACTACGTTATGCTGGATATTAAAAACTGCCTGGGGCCGAGTGCCGGTGGCTCACGCCTGTAATCCTAGCTGCTCAGGAGGCTGAGATCTGAGGATCACATTTCAAAGCCAGCCAGGCAGGAAAGTCCGTGAGACTTTTTTTTTTTTTTTTGGTCGGTCATGGGGCTTGAACTCTGGGCCTGAGCGCTGTCCCTCAGCTCTTCAGCTCAAGGCAAGCGCTCTACCACTTGAGCTACAGCGCCACTTCCAGTTTTCTGGTGGTTTATTGGAGATAAGAGTCTCACGGTCTCTCCTGCCCTGGCTGGCTTTGAACCGCGATCCTCAGATCTCAGCCTCCTGAGTAGCTAGGATTACAGGCGTGAGCCACTAGCTCCCGGCAGCGTGAGACTCTTATCACCAATAAACCACCAGAAAACCGGAAGTGGTGCTGTGGCTCAAGTGGTAGAGCACTCATCTGGAGCTGAAGAGCTGAGGGACAGCGCCAGGCCCAGAGTTCAAGCCCCATGACTGACCAAAAAAAATAAATAAATAAAAATAAAAATTTTCAGAATAAAGATGGCAAAGTCACTTTGGGGAAACAGGGAGAGGGATGAGACCTGAGAACCCAGGACTTCACCAGGTCGGAAAGAAGGATTAGAGGAGAAACAAGTCATTGTACCTCAGAAGCCACACATAATGAGGCTGATGGAGGGTGATTAAGATTTTGGAGCAAATTCCAAGAGAGCTTGGGGCGTGGGGCAGGGGTGGGGGCGGGGAGAAAAAGAGAGACCTGAACTCAGAGCATCTACCTTGTTAACAAGTGCTGTTCCACTTCAGCTCTTTTGTTTTCAGTATGGTTGTTGAGCTAGGATCTCACTCATTTTGCCCAGGCTGCAATTAGAGATCTTCCTTCCTGTCTCTGCCTTCTGAGTAGCTGGGATCATAGGCAAGCCCCAATATACCTAGCCAAGCATAATGCTTTTGAAATTCAATCATAGTTGCCATGTCAGGAGTTTGTTCCTTCTTATTGCTGAGTAGTATTGTACCATATGAAAGTACCAACAGTTGTTTCTCTACTCACCTATTCATGGCTATCTGCACTGTTTGCAATTTTTAGCTATTGTCAAACAGCTCCTATGAATATTCTTTCCCAAGTTCTTTGTGTTTACAAATATATATAGCTAGGTGCCAGTGGTTCACGCATATAATCCTAGCTATTCAGGAGGCTGACATCTGATGATCTTGGTTCAAAGCCAGCCTGGACAGGAAAGTCCGTAAAACTCTTATCTCCAACGAACCACTAGAAAACTAGAAGTGGCACTGTGACTTAAAGTGGTAGAGCACTAGCCTTGCGTGAAAAATCTCAGAAATAGCACCCAGGCCCTGAGTTCAAGCTTCACCACCACCAACAAGAAAAACGTAGATCTATGTTATCCTTTCACTTACTTAGGGAAAATAAGTAGGCCTAGACTCGACCAGTCTCAGAGAAGACATATATTTACATTTATAACAGCTTTTGAAGACAGTAATAGAGAGGGTGAGACAAATCAAAGTACTTTGTATCCATATGCACATGTAAGAATGTAACCCTCGGCCAGGCGCTGGTAGCTCACACCTGTAATCCTAGCTACTCAGGAGGCTGAGATCTGAGGATCAAGGTTCAAAGCCAGATGGGGTAGGAAAGTCCATGAGATTCTTATCTCCAATTAACCACCCAGAAAACCAGAAGTGGTACTGTGGCTCAAGTGACAGAGCACTAGCCTTGAGCTCAAGAACTCAGGAACAGTGCCCATGTCCAGAGTTCAAGCCCCACGACCAACACACACACACACACACACACACACACACACACACACACACACACACACAAATACAAATGTAATCCCCTTATACAACTAATTAAAAAAAGAAGCTAAAGAAAAAATAAAACTTTTAAGATACTTGCTTCCAATGGTTGAGTTATTTACTCTCCCACTAGCAATAATTAAGAGATATGATTGTCCAACATCTGACTGCACGTTTTAAAGAAAATTTAAGCTGGCTAAACATATACGATCAATCACTAGCCTTCTTCAAAACCTCCTGAGTATGCAGGGATTAAAGGAGAGCAGCACACCTGACCTTTATCTCTTTTTAAACTACTTAGTGGTTGGTTTGTGTTTTTTTGGTCAGTCAGGTGCTGGAAATCTGGGCCTGGGTTCTCTCCCTCAGCAATCCAGCTCAAGGCGGAGCCACTGGTGCCTGGCAACTAGTTTTGGCAAGCCACATTCAGTACAGTAACTAACAAAGAGTTAAGTGTTCAGTAAACACCCTTAAATTTATTTTTAAAAAATCCCTATTTCTAACCAGAATCCTAAGGAAAACACATGTGTGTGCATGCGTGCACACATGCATGCGCATGCGCACACAAAACAAGGACCTTGCCAGGCGCTGATGGTTCATGCCTGTAATCCTAACTACTCAGGTGGCTGAGATATGAGGATCGCCATTCAGAGCCAGCCTGGGCAGGCAAATCTGTGAAACTCTAATCTCCAATTACCACCAGAAAACTGGAAGTGGCGCTGTGGCTCAAGTAGGTAGAGTGCTGCCCTTGAGCTGAAGAATTGAGGGACAGCGCCCAGGTCCTGAGTTCAAGCCTCAAGACTGACATTTAAAAACAACAGCAACAAAAAAACCTCCAAGTGAAACAAGTAGCTTTCTGAAGAGTGTTTAGCAGAACTAAACATTTTGTCTTGTTCAATTGTTGCCTGACTGTCTCATTCTCCTACTCAGATGCACAAACCCTAAGGGCAAGGATGATGGCGGATCTCAGCCAATCCTAGAAATCTAGACCTGTAGCACATAGTAGGGTGTTGTTTATTAAACAGCATAACAGATCTGAAAACAGGTTGAAACAGATAAAAATAGACTTGCATTTAACAGCCGTATAACTTTAAGACGATTTTTAAGCTTCTCTTACAGCTTTTTTCCTCTTATGCTTTTTGATGGTTAATTGAAGATGAGTCTCACAGACTTTCCAGCCTGGATTGGCTTCGAAACGCAATCCTCACATCCCAGCCTCCTGACTCTGGAGTAGCTAGGATTGCAGGCGTGAGACCCAGGCGCTAGGTTCACGCGACTTTTACCACGTCTTGAATGACACCTGGGACACTATGAAGCAGAACTGAGAGGTAAAACGGGAGATGTACCCAGTGAGGCGGTTTCGGATAATCTTCACGCTCATCACGGTCTCCCCCATTGTGGCAAAGGCTCTGGAGATGAAGTTCTCATCCATGTAGGGTTCCAGCTGAGGAACAAGCAGAGCGCAGGCTCTGGCGGGAGTCCAGAGCCCGGGGCCGCTCCGCCCCCCTGGCCCAGACCCCCTCTCCCGTCCCCCTAGGCCCCGCCTCTTCTCCCTCCCACTCCGCGCGGGGGGACGGCGCGCGGCGCGGGGCCTGGGCGGGCGGGGCCGCGGGCCCCGCCCAGACGTCCGAGCCCCACCCCCGTCGCCCCAAACTCGCCTCCCTGCGCCCCTCCAGTCCTAGAACCATTCAACGCCCCTTGATCCCCTCAGGAAAATCTCGCGTCCCGGTCCAGTCCCTGCTCTCCGTGGCCCGGACGCGCTTCGCCGTCACCAGAACTGCCTCCCCGCTCACTGCCTGCCCGCGGGGCTCGAGTCCGCGCCCTCAGACGCCGGGACCCTTCCGCCGCCTCCTGAGAGTGCGGCCGGCAGCTCTCACTCACGTCTCCCATCCACAGGCTGGCCGCCATCCCGCAGCCAGGCGGGGACCTCGCGGGTTCCGCGGCGCGCCCAGGCGCCAGTCCGCGCGGCCCAGATCGCCCCGGAGCTCGCGCCGCGACGTCTTCTGCGCACGCTCGGAAGTCCAGAAGCCGAGCCCGTCCGGCAGTCCGCTCCAGACTTTCCGGAAGATCTGGCGCCGGCTTCCGGCTCGCGGTGGGCGGGGTCGGGGTGGCGTCGCGCGCGAGCGTGGCGGTGGTGGTGCCGCGTTCGGCTGTTTCCCACTTTATTTAACAAACAGAACTTGGCGTGAGTATTCAGGTACATTCAGATACTATAGAAAAACCAACATGCACTCAGCACAAGAGATGGGTAACTAGGGCTGGGAAGGTGGCTCAGTGGTAGAGCGCTTACCTCGCATGCATGAGGCCCTGGGTTCGATTCCTCAGCACCACATAAGCAAAAAGAAAAAAAGCCAGAAGTGGCGCTGTGGCTCAAGTGGTAGAGCGCTAGCCTTGAGCTGAAGAGCTGAGGGACAGCGCCCAAGCCCGACCGACTAAAAAAAAAAAAAAAAAAAAGATGCTAGTAAAGCACTGGGCCCAATCAGTGCCTGATGGTTGGAGGCTGTAACAGCTATTCTGTACATTAGTCACACATGCTGTGCTGTTATTACGTTTAACATTTACTTTACATGTGGAAGTTTGTTACTTTTTTGCCAGTCTTGGAGCTTGAACTCAGAGCTGGCCCAGGCATTGTCCTTGAGCTCTTTGATCAAGGCTAGTGTTTTACCACTTGAGCTACAGTACCACTTCTGGATTTTTCTGAGTAGTTAATTGGAGATGTCTCATAGATTTTTCTGCCCTGCCTGGCTTCAAACCACGATCCTCAGAAATATCAGCCTCCTGACTAGCTAGGTGTGAGCCATCAGTGCCCAGCTTTGTGGAAAGCTTTTGTGTGTACTAGTCTGGGACTTGAACTCAAGAACTGGGCACTGTTTCTGGGCTTTTTTGCTCAAGGCTAGCACTCTACCACTTGAAGAATCACAACTCCACTTCCAGGGTTGTTTTTTTTTTGGTCGGTTGTGGGGCCTAACCTCTGGGCCTGGATTCTGTCCCTTAGCTCTTCAGCTCAAGGCTAATAATGCTCTACCACTTGAGCCACAGCACCACTTCCAGCTTTTTCTGCTTATGTGGTACTGAGGAATCAAAACCAGGGCCTCATGCATGCAAGGCAAACACTCTTATCACTGAGCCACCTTCCCAGCCCCACTTCCAGCTTTTTTGGTGCTTGATTGGAGATCAGTCTCCTGATGGGGCTGGGTTTGTACCTAGATCCTCAGATCTTACCCTCTTGAGTAGCTAGGATTACAGTTATGAGCTACTGGCACCAGACTATTTTGTTGTCAGCTGTGGGGCTCGAACTGAAGGCCTGGTACTGTCCCTGAGCTTTTCTGCTCAAGGCTAGCAATCTACCTATTGAGCCCTTCAGCTCCACTTGTGTTTTTCTGGTGGTTAATTGGAGATAAGAGTTTCACAGATTGGGTGGGGGGGAGGGGGGAGGCTAGGAAGGGAGGTGAAGGGTAAACAAAGGAGGAGGCTGCAATGCTTGGTAAGAAATGTATGCATTATCTTGCCCATGTAATTGTAACCCCTCTATACAGTATGTTCTCAAATAAAATAAAATAAAATTAAAAAAAAAAAAAAAGTTTCAGACTTTGCTGCCTGGGCTAGCTTCAAACCATTATCCTCAGATCTCAGCCTACTGAGTACCTACAATTATAGGTGTGAGCCACCAGTGCCCAACACCAGACTTTAAGAGCTGAGGGACAGCACCCAGGCCTAGAGTTTAAGCCCCATGACCGACAAAAATACAAACAAAAAAGCTAAGGGAGAACATTCCTATTCCTGAGTTCAACTCTAGTATCAGCACAAAAAACAATAAATAAAACAGCCTTCCTGTTACGTTTTATTTTTTGCAGAGCTGAGGACCAAACTCAGGGCCTTGCACTTGCCAGGCAAATGCTCTTCCACTGAGCTGAATCCCCAACTCACTTTTTTTTTTGAGACAAGATCTCAATATGCAAGTCAGGCTTGTCTGGAACTCAAGATCCTCCTGCCTTTGCAACCCAGTTGCTGGGATTATAAAATTATAGGCACCACCACACCTGGCCTACAGTCCTTTGATAGCTTTTTATAAAAACAGTAGTAACTTTCTGCATTTGCATGAGCTAATACCACAGGCATCAATTACAAGTATTCCAAATGTGGTTTGTTCAACCAAGTTTAAATTAAAAAAATAAATAAATAGGGCTGGGAATATGGCTTAGTGGTAGAGTGCTTGTCTCGCAAGCCTGAAGCTCTGGGTTTGATTCCTCAGTGCCACCCAAGTAGAAAATGCTGAAAGTGGTGCTGTGGCTCTAGTGGTAGAGTGCTGGTCTTGAGCAAAAGCAGCTCAGGGACAGCGCCAAGGCTGGAAGTTCAAGCCCCAGAACTGGCAAAAAGAAAAAAAAAATCGCCCCACATAGTGACTATTGTATTGTGCAGATTAGCTGATTTGGTTGCTCAAATGCTTATTAAAAACAGTATTAACATACATATATATATATAAGCTGCTGTTAACATTTATTGTTGCTGGGGATCAAACCTACCTAGAACCTCAAAAATACCACAGGCACCACATTCCCAGCCTTGTAACCAATGCTTAAATATTAGCTGAAAATGATAGAGGAACTCAAAAGCATTTCTAAAGATGTACTGTAAGAAAATTAGATGGGTGAGGGGGTAACAATGCTCAGTAAGAAATGGACTCATTACCTTGTTCATGTAACTGTAACCTCTCTGTACAGTATCTTTACAATAAAAAATATATATTAAGGGCTGGGAAATTGGCTCAGTGGTAGAGCGCTTGCCTTGCATGCCTGAGGCCCTGGGTTCGATTCCTCAGCACCACATAAGCAAAAAGAAAAAAGCCAGAAGTGGCACTGTGGCTCAAGTGGTAGAGCGCTAGCCTTGAGCTGAAGAGCTGAGGGACAGCGCCCAGGCCCAGGCCCAGAGTTCAGGCCCCACGACCGGACCCAAAAAAAAATAAAATAAAAAAATATATATATATACATATATTAAACAAAAAAGATATTTAGATGGGTGCTGATGGCTCATGCCTGAAATCCTAGCTACTTAGGAGACTACAATCTGACATTCCACCTATCTTCTATTCTGCAGCATCATTAAAAAGGAAATATAGTGATTCTTGAATCACTAGTGATTCGTACACCTTGACATGCTTCAGTCTGTATCCTGAACATCTATTTCGTAGACATGGCTTATTCTGCCCTTCACAAACAGGGCCTGGCAACTGGTAGGCACTCCCTTAAAAGCCAGGGAGTGTGTAGAAAACAAGTGGCCTTTTTATAAAACTCTACATTTATTAAAAGATTTCACTTATTAAAAGATTTCACTCTCCCCTCCAAAATATTTTACAGTTAAAAAAAAAATCAAAATTATTTTCTCAACTGTACATGGTGCTGCTTCCTTTCCTCAGGACCAGCTTCTACCCCCCCATCCCCAGTCACCCCTGTATGGGTCATACATGGTTTATAAGCCCCTCCCACTCTCCCTGTCAATACCCTTTGGCTGCCCTGCCAGCCCAGCCCAGCCCAGCTTGGCTTTCTGGTCGCTGCAATGGAGCCATATGGATGGAGAACAGGCAGCCATGAGGGGCAAGAGTGTGCTTTGTGCTTCTGGGAAACAGCCAGCTGCCATTTTTCTTCATCAAGTAGATCTCTTGTCTTGCCCCACGGACACCTGTTCAGAGCCAAATATTTGACTTGGGGTTGCCCAGAGCTCTCTAGCCTGCCCTTTCTCCAGACAGCCCAGGCATGGGTCAGGTGACTGTTGCAGCTGTCTGCTTGGGGACTGTTAGGAGTGGCATGTGACTACAATGGGACCTGACAGAGCCCCAACTTTTCACAGTGCAGGCACCAAACACCTAGAAGCAAGCTTTGGTGTTTTGGGAGGCAAAGCCAAGGCCAGCCAGGACCACAGGAGGTAGGAAGTTGGAGGGGAAGAGAGGTCTAACCAATCACATCGTTAGGTCTAAGTTCTCCCATCCCAAACTTAATCCTGCAGATTCCAGGATGACTCCAGAAAGAAGAGAGAGGAAAAGGACTCTGCTCTGTTGATGGGGAAAAGGCAGGAGATGACAGAGCACTGAGGGCTGGGGAGAGGCCTTCAGGACTCCGCGGTTGTCTTTGCGTCCCTGTTTGGTGAGGCAGGGAGGGGCCAGCCGTCAGGCCCTAGTCGGCTTCATCAGCTCTGCTCCTTGTCTTTGACTAGTAAGACTGTGTGTTGGCCGCCGCTGGACACAGATAAGACCACACGGTTCTCCAGCTGTTTGCCAGTCATCTCCACGGGGCTCCAGGCGTCCTCATCTTGCCCTGTGCCCAGCTGATAGTTGGTGCCCATGCCCCAGGCAAAAACACGACCTGCAAAGAGAGAAGCAAAGACAGCTGAAGGCCTACATCTGGACTCTGAGAAGGTGGAACACGAGTGAATTTGGAAGCTCTCAGCCTTGGGAGTTCAAGGACATTGGGGAAAGCTAAACAGACGATGCCCTAAGCTGGGCATCGGCTCACAACTAAAATCCTAGCTATGGAGATGGGAAGGTGGCTCAGTGGTAGAGTGCTTGTCTTGCATGCATGAGACCCTGGTTCAATTCCTCAGCACCACATAAGAAAAAAAGAAAAAAGCCGGAAGTGGCACTGTGGCTCAAGTGGTAGAGCGCTAGCCTTGAGCTGAAGAGCTGAGGGACAGCGCCTAGGCCCAGAGTTCAGGCCCCACGACTGGACCAAAAAAAAAAAAATCCTAGCTATGGAGGCTGTGATCAGAGGATCAAAGTCAAAGACAGCCCAAGCAAGAAAGTCCCTAAGATTCCTCTCTAACAACTAAGTCAGAAGCAGAGCTCAAGTAGCTGTAGCTCAAGTGGTAGACCACTAGACTTGAGCAAAAAAGGTCAAACACCACAACCGACCAAAAAAATAAAAATAAGTTAAAAAAAAAAAAAGGTCAAACAGCAGCACTTAGGCCTTGAGTTCAAGCTCCAGGACCAGCACACAAAAAGATGATGTCAGACATTGCTTTACTCCTAGGTGTGACAATCAAGGCCCACTCCTTGAAGCCATTCTCAGGACCGGTCAGACTCTGGATGTGTCTCTGCTTGGGTCATATAAACGACTGAACCCCCAGAAATTCTCCCCAGATCATCTCAAACCAGGCACCTCTGCAGCCCAACTTTTCAAGGTTGTCCCCACCTGGGCCCCTCATCCTCTATTTACAATGATTTGTACTTGAAGACAGTTTCTGAGTCACAAGTGAAGCAATGCCATTGCCAACGTTGCTCTGGGACAGCTGTGTCTGATGCTGACATCACAGCCTGCTAGGGAGTTTGCTAAGAACCCTGACTTCCAGACCCCAAGCAGACAGAGGGGCGGGGGATAGCCCTACTCACCATCCTTGGACACGGCATACCCTACAGAGGCTCCACAGGCCACTGAGGAGACAGTGGGCAGCCTGGAGATGAGGGTGGGTATGCTCTTCTCCTCAGCACCCTCTCCAAGGCCTAGCCGCCCGTACTCCGCCCGGCCCAGGCTGTATGCTTTTCCTGTGAGGAGAGACAGAGAGATGAGCAGTAGCACAGGACATACTCCAAGGCCAGCTGCAGTCCTCACTCCCAAGGTGGACAGAGGGTGACTTTGGGGGTGAACCTGGAGAATTTTCCTGTAGACCCCTCAGAAAGTTCCTGCTTGGAAGCCCTGGCCTCTGGAGCATAGGAAATGCCTTGTGGATCGCAGTCTGGCCCAAACCCAGATTTTAAGGACCTCGGGCCCACTGTAGCCAGACCAGGCCCAGAGATACCCTGTCTTCAAAACAGAGAAGGTAGCCGGGCGCTGGTGGCTCATGTCTGTAATCCTAGCTACTCAGGAGGCTGAGATCTGAGGATCGCAGTTCAAAACTAGCCCGGGCAGGAAAGTCCATGAGACTCTTATCTCCAATAAACAACTCAAAAACCGGAAGTGGCGCTGTGGCTCAGGTGGTAGAGCGCTCGCCTTGAGCTGAAGAGCACAGGGACTGCGCCCAAGCCTAGAGTTCAAGCCCCACCAACGACCAAAACAAAAAAACAAAACAGAGAAGGTATTACCTTCTGAATCCATGCAGACTGTGTGATGCTGGCCACCAGAGAAGCCCACCCAGGACTTGGTAGAATTCTTGAAGGATGTCAGATTCTGGGGTACGAAGCAAGATTCTGTGCCTGGTGTTCCTGCCAGCAGACATGAAGGTGTTGCAGGAGCTGCCCTTCTCAATGCCCTTCCATCAGACACCCTTATCTCATTATGGATAGTCTTACTTTACATGTTACACAACTGTGGCTCTGAGAGTTAGGGTACCCCAGTGAATGAGGAGTGGAGCCAGGACTGGGCCCCAGGCCACTGAGTCACACACACTCAGTGCTGGGCTCAGGACTCACCAAGCTGATGGTAGTTGGAAAGGCCAAAGCCATACACATGGCCCTCTCGGGAGATGGCAAAAGTGAAATAGGCACCACAGAAGGCGTCCTGAAACCTCACATGGCCTCGGGTCCCCCTGGACTTCAGCAGCACACATTTGGGCACCAGGAGTCGTTCTGTAGGCAGAGAAGGCCAGTGGGTGACAGACACACGAACCAGGGTCTCTGCCCTGACCCTGGGTCTGTCCTTCCCTTGGCAGGAAGGGAAACCCAGAGCACAAGTAACAATCCAATCCCCAGTCATGGTAGGTGACATCTGCATGGAATAGTCCTCTTATCAACCCAGTGAAGCAGGGTTGGAGGAGGGCAAGTCAAACAAACCCCATCCAGGGCCCCAGAGCCAGGAGGCCAAGCGGCAGAAATGATTCACACAGACCGAGGGCAGGTGGTCTCTAGGGGGGCTTGAACTCAGGGATTTAGCATTGCCCACTGGCCTTTTCACTCAAAGCTTGCACTACGCCACTTGAGCCACATTTCTACTGGCTTTTTGGTGTTTATCTCTTGGGAATTTCCTGCCTTGGTTGGCTTTGAACCAAGACCCTGGGATCACAGCCTCCTGAAGAGCTGAGATCACAGGCGTGAGCACCAGCCCTCGCTGGGCTGGAGGTCTGGGTTTTTGCTTTTCTTTTTTCTTGGGGCTTGAATTCAAGCCTGGGCACTGTTCCTGAGTTTTTTGGGGTTTTTTTTGTCAGTCACAGGGCTTGAACTCTGAGCCTGGGTGCTGTCCCTCAGCTCGTCAGCTCAAAGCTAATGCTCTACCACTTGAGCCACAGCTCCACTTCCGGTTTTCTGATGGTTAGTTGGAGATAAAAAGACTCATGGACTTTTCTGCCTGGGCTGGCTCTGAACCGTGATCCTCAGATCTCAGCCTCCTGAGTAGCTAGGATATTGGTGCGAGCCACTGGCGCCCGGCTTGAGTTTGACTCTTAGACCACATTACAAGTTCGTCTGAAGTAAATCTGCCGTCTACGTCCACCAGGGGATGGCTTGCCATGGTGCCTCGCTGCGGGTACCAAAGCCACTTACCAAGGCCCTGCCGTCCACCACGGTTGGCAAATAACTCAGGCACCCGGCCCAGCTGACCCTGCTCCCCACAGCCCAAGGTGTAGAGGTCACCATCAGCTGTCAGCATCACCAAGTGGTCATTTCCTACAAGTGATGGGAAGGCAGAGAAGTCAATGCTGAGCCGACCCAGAACCAAGTTGTCCAGCTTAGCCTGCGGCTAGTACCCAAGACTCACCGGAGGCCACCTTTACCACCGGCACATCGAGCTGCACATGCACAGGCACCATGCTCTTCTTCATGGGCTCCAAGAGCCCGATCACACCATTATTGTCCTACAAGAGAGGGACAGAGCACTCAGCAGCCAGCCCTGCCTGCCCACTGCGGGGTAAAGGGCAGTGAGGGATGGCAGACGGGGTGAAGAGGCAGGCAGCGGATGCTCACTTGCGGAATCCCATGTGCTCTGGGAATTCTGTTCAAGTAGTGGGGAGAGCAGGTACAAGTAGAGACAAATAAGTCTACAAAAAGTTGTTACTGCTGCTGTTGTGTGGACGGAGGGGGTGGGTGTCAATACACCATCCTGACATTTTTATGTGCTGTAGGAAATTTGCCATAGAATTTTTTTTTCTTCCTGTTTCTGGGGCTTGACTGGGACTGGGCACTGCCCCTGAGCCTTTTTGTGCTCAAGGCTAGCACTCTACTACTCTGAGCCACAGCACCACTTCCAACTTTTTTGAATAGTTTATTAGGGATAAGAGTCTCCACAGGGAGCTGGGAAGGTGGCTCAGTGGTAGAGCGCTTGCCTTGCAAGCATGAGGCTCTGTGTTCAATTCCTCAGCACCACATAAGCAGAAAAAGTCAGAAGTGGCACAGTGGCTCAAGTGGTAGAACGCTAGCCTTGAGTTTAGGCCCAATGACCAACAACAACAAAAGAAAAGCACAAGTCCCTGAGTTCAAATCCCAGCACTGAGAGAGGTAAAATCACTTTGATAAAGAAATACTTGCTGGGCCGGGCGCTGGTGGCTCACGCCTGTAATCCTAGCTACTCAGGAGGCTGAGATCTGAGGATCGCGGTTCAAAGCCAGCCCGGGCAGGAGAAACCGTGAGACTCCTATCTCCAATAAACCACCAGAAAACCGGAAGTGGCGCTGTAGCTCAAGTGGTAGAGCGCTCGCCTTGAGCTGAAGAGCTGAGGGACAGCGCCTAGGCCCAGAGTTCAAGCCCCACGACCAACAAAAAAAAAAAAAAGAAATACTTGCTGGATTTCCTTTAGTTTTTGCCTTGCTTTCTGGTTGCCAGTTCTGGGGCTTGAATTCAGGGCATGGACATTGTCCCTTAGCTTTTTTGCTCAAGGCTAGTGCTCTGCTACTTAAGCCACACCTCCACTCCCCCCCCCCCCCCTTTTTTGCGGCAGAAACTCATTTTGTATCCCAGGTTGGCCCTGCCTGATTGTTTTAGGGAGTGACACTACACCTAACTTGACTCCTTTATCTTTACAAGATCTTAAAACTAAGTACCAAAGAACTAAGAGTCATAACGCTGAGCTGATATGTACGCTGTACTCCTCTGTCCTGGAAACAGGTGTAACAATACCTATCCCCACGATTCCCTCACACGCAGCTTCTGGGAAGTCTGGAAAGGGGCTGGGAAGGGAGAAGGAAGGGGAGGCAGGAAGAGCGAAGACAGCAGCTTCGTGTATCAGCTGCAAGCCAAAGGCATGCCTGACCCATCCTTTTTTTTTTTTTTGGGGGGTGGTGTTGATCATGGGGCTTGGGTGCTGTCCCTGAGCTCTTCAGCTCAAGGTGAGCACTCTACCACTTGAGCCACAGCGCCACTTCCAGTTTTTCTGGTGGTTATTTGAAGCATCTCACAGACTTTCCTGTCCAGGCTGGCTTTCGAACATGATCCTCAGATCTGAGCCTCCTGAGTAGCTAGCATTACAGGCGTGAGCCACCTGCGCCAGGCACCTATCCCTTTCTCAAAACATGTACTCCAACGGTGGTACCAACAGGCCTAGATGAAGAAGTCAGAGACTTGGATCTGAACCCCAGCTCTCTCTGGGGGAACCTTCATCTCTCTACCAGTAAGGAAGCAAAATGGGATTAAGTTAGATTTTCTTACTCAGAAGTCAGTTCCACTTACCCGGAAGGAACCCCAGAGGAAAACTCGACCATCCTCGGTGAGGGCTGCGGTGTGACTGTCTCCTGCTGACACCTGCACCACCTTTTCCTGCAGCTCCACTTTCCCGGGGACCATCTCTGAGCCCTCCACTGAGGTGTCCCTTCCCAGGGCACCTTCGTCATTGCAACCAAAGGAGTAGACCTGTGCCAGGATGCTCCATTAGTGTCAGGGCCGGGCACTATCCCTAAGCTTTTTTTTGCTCAAGGTTAGCACTCTGCCACTTGAGCCGCAGCACTACTACAATTACTACTGATTTTTCATAACTTAACGGAGATAAGACTCTCACAGACTTTCCTGGCTGGTCTGGCTTAGAACCATGATCCTCAGATCTCAGCCTCCTAAGTAGGTAGGATTACAGATGTGAGCCATGTGCGCCTGGTAAAGGCTACTCTTGCTTAGGCCGCTTCTTGCTTGACTAGCCCACTCCATTTCCATAGAGAAACTGTGGCTCAAAGATCCAACCTGCACCTCCCCAGCCCTTGTCCCGCCCACACCAAATCTCCAACTCACCTGGCCACTTTTGCTCAGACACACAGTGTGCATGCCCCCGGCCTCGGCCTGCACAACATCCTCCAGAATGGGCACCAGGGCTGGCTTCTTCCGTTCCATGATAGTCTCGCCCAGCCCCAGCTGGCCCACGTCGCCCTGGCCCAGTGTCAGCACCAAGCCCGGTTCTGTGCTGTGAGACCTGTGTGAGACTGAGGAGCGGAGAAGACGGCCCCTGAGTGTGCAGGGTGATGGAGACAAGAGGCCCCTCACGGGCTCTGGACTCACAGAGCTGGGCTGCCACAGGCCAGTACTATTCTCTTTCGAAGCCTAACTCTCCTTAGCTGTGAAACCTACAGAACTTTGAGGGAGCAGGTGGACACAAGGAGACAGTCCCTACCGAGGGAGGAAGTGGACACAAGGAGACAGTCCCTACTGAGAAATCAATCTATCTTGGTTTTCCTGATTAGCTTATGTTGCTGTCAGCGGTCAGGATGCCAACAGTTGGGGCTCAGATAATGTTTGCCCTCCACTGACTCTTACTCTACTAATGCTTCCCTTGCAGACTTTCACTAGTTAGGATCCCCTTTTATAGGAAATGGAACAAAGCCTCTCAAGAGATTCAATACATTATCTCGGGCCATGAAGTAGCAAAATCTTCAATAAACTCTAGTAGAGTTTGCACTAAGACCAAGAGACTACTTGGGCCAAGCAGTCCCCAAAACTCCACCCCACTCCCTTTCCAGTGCTTGTTATTATTGTTTTCAGACCCATGCTGCCCTTAAACTTGGAATCCTCATGTCTCAACCTCCTGAATGCTGGGATTACAGGCATGTGTCACCATACCCAGCAATCAAGTTGTGATTGGCCCCTTCCATCCCTCTCCACAGCACACTAGCAGCTAGAGAGAAAGGAGAAGGAGTAATGAGGACTCAAAGAAGCATTCGTGGAGTGGTGTGGACCAATAAGTAGGCGACACAAGGCCCTTTGCTAGCCAGTGGCCGCTGCCCGCAGCCCCGGCCTGCCAATGGCTTCTAGCCTCTCTCGGGATGTGGCCACAGCTGCCTGGGCTGCAGCCACGGCTGCAGCTGCGCAGTGGGCAGGGAGCCACCTGGTCGGATTTTCTGGTCAGGAGGGCTTGGCCTGCAGGCACCTTGGCCGGAGAGGACACCGGGACCACGGCGGGAGGCAGTGGCCCGCGCTGCCTGGTTACGAGAGTCTGCAAAAGACAGACACTGTCTGAGCGTGTGTCCGCCTCCCCCCTCCCAGACTGGGGGTGGCTTTCTCTTGTCCCTGTCCCATTCTGGGGGTCATAGGAAGGAGGAAACCATAGCCACCTCCCTCAGAGGATGCCAGGACATGATCCCAGGGGGACTGGCACCCTCTCAGCCCCACTCTCGAGCTGAAGAGTGGCTGAGTGAAAGCCTACATATAATTCATTACTTATTGCCTGGAGCTAGTGCTATAACCAGCACTGCCAGAGTGCTTTGTCTTTTTTTTTTTTTTTTTTGGGGGGGGGGCAGTCATGGTGCCTGAACTCTGGGCCTGGGTGCTGTCCCTCAGCTCTTCAGCTCAAGGCTAGCACTCTACCACTTGAGCCACAGAACCACTTCCAGCTTTTTCTGCTTATGTGGTGCTGAGGAATCGAACCCAGGGCCTCAGGCATGCAAGGCAAGCACTCTACCACTGAGCCACCTTCCCAGCCCCTGCCAGAGTGCTTTGAACCAAGTCCCCGCCCCTTTTATGATTCCCAAAGGGTGGGACTCAAGGAGCTCCAGGAGGCCTTCAGCTGACCCCAGACTCCCAAGCCCCCGCCGTTCAGCAGGGATCCAAGAGGCCACTCACAGCCCAGAAAGAGACCAAGACCAACTTACTCTTCACCTTCTTGCTTTTGGGAATCGCATCTTCCGGGGGTGATCTTCTCTTGGCTATCCGCTTGGGTGGCATCTTCCTATCCTGAAAAACCCAGCCAAATATTGCCTATTAGAAATGACAAAGCTGGGCACTGTGCCTCACGCCTATAATCCTAGCTACTTAGGAGGCTGAGAGCTAGAGGATTGAGGCTTGGAGTCAGACTGGGACGGAAAGTCCCTAAGACTCTATCTCCAATTAATGCTGGACAAGAGGCATAGCTCAAGCAGTAAAGCACCATCTGTAAAAGGCATGTGAACACAAGGCCCTGATTTCAAGCCCCAATAACAAAAAGGAAATGCCAGATGCCGATGGCTCACACCTGTAATTCTAGCTATTCAGGAGGCTAGATCTAAGGATCAAGGATCAAAGCCAATGCAGGCAGACAAATCCTGAAGACTTTTTTTTAGTTCCGGTCATGGGGCCTGAACTCTGGGCCTGGGCACTGTCCCTCAGCTCTTCAGCTCAAGGCTAGCGCTCTACCACTTGAGCCACAGTGCCACTTCCAGCTTTTTTCTTTTTTTGCTTATGTGGTGCTGAGGAATCGAACCCAGGGCCTCATGCATGCAAGGCAAGCACTCTACCACTGAGCCACCTTCCCAGCCCCAATCCTCAAGACTCTTATCCCTAATCACCAGAAAGCTAAAATGGACCTATGGCTCAAGTGGTAGAGCACTAGTCTTGAGCAAAGAGCTCAGAGACAGTGCCCAAGCCTTGAGTTCAAACCCTAGGAATATCCAAAAAAAGAAAGAAGGAAAGAGAGAAAAGGAAAATCTGGGAATGTGGCTTAGTGGTAGAGTGCCTGCCTTGCATGCATGAAGCCCTGGGCTCGATTTCTCAGTACCACACAAACAGAAAAGGCTGGAAGAGGCGCTGTGGCTCAAGTGGTAGAGTGCTGGCCTTGAGCAAAAGCAGCTCAGGAACAGTGCCCAGGCCCTGAGTTCAAGCCCAGGACTGGCAAAAAAAAAAAAAGGGGGGTGGAGGGGGAGAAGGGGAATGTGCATGTACTCAGCAGTTACAGACAGCTAATTAATGTGTGAAATACTCAGAACAGTAGGAAATATTCAGAGGTGAGGGGCTGGGAAGATGGCTCAGTGGTAGTGCTTTCCTTGCATGCATGAGGCCCTGGGTTGGATTCCTCAGCACCACATAAGCAGAAAAAAGCTGGAAGTGGTGCTGTGGCTCAAGTGGTAGAACACTAGCCTTGAGCTGAAGAGCTGAGGGACAGCTCCTAGGCCCAGAGTTCAAGCCCCATGACCGACCAAAGAAAAAACAAAAACAAAAACTCCAGTACCAACCCCATCATCGTCCTCCCCACCCCCCAAAAAAAAGCATTTACAATTTTGGAGGAAAGTGAGATATAGTCACAAATCAAAGTCAGAATGAAGTCAGCTTCCATGAACAGGACCTATATTGGGTCAACCTCTCCCAGAAGTTTGCAGATTAAGGAAGACCAGGTTGAGGTAGGGGAAGGTGCCCCAGGCCGTGTCTCCTGACCATTCCCTACCAGGGCAGCTCCAGCCTGCTCCCATATGAAAAAGGGTAGGCAGACCAGACAGCCTGCCACTTGTGACCCGTCCCAGCCCGGTTCCTGTGATGAGAGAAGCAGTGTTCTGGAACCACAGCAGCTGTTCCTCCCGCACACACTGCGAGGCAGAACTTGCCTGCCAGACTCAGGGGTTAAAGAACCTCTTTGTGTGAGACAGAGATGCCTCTCCTGTCAATAGACACTTGCAGAGCTGCTATGTCATGGCCAAGCTAAGCACGGGGCTGGCATGCTTCACACCCACAATGCCCCACCCTGGCCTCCCAGTACAGGAACTTTAGACCAGGTCTTGGTATTCACTTTTCCCAGGGGAAGGAGCCCAGCTTCCACTAGATGTTAGAATGAACGCTTTACTTAAATGATGGGATATGTGCGACCCTTTTACCTTCATTTTACAGATGAGGACACTGATGCTGAGGGGGGTTGTGCGGGAGGCCCAGGGAGACCAGGGAGACCGGACTAGCAAGAGGATGGCACTCCTATTCTTTGAAACCCCAACCTGGTTAAGTCCTAATTCATCTCTCCACACACTGCTGATGCCCTCCCGGCTCTCGAACCACCCGTGCTGACCTGACCACCACACTCAAGCCTTTGCATTCGTGCTGCCCAAGCGGCGGTGGCATAGGCCTGGTCACCCCCCACCCACCCACCCCCAACTCCAGTGCCTACTCTTCAGATGAATCCCTGTCAAGAAACACGTCACCTGGGGGGCCACCCATGACACCCCCCCCCCCGCCCCGAAGCCGCGGTGGGGGTCCCCGGAGAGGATCCACAGATTGAACTTGTGCTTTAGCCACACGTGGCCAGGGATCCTCAATTTATTTCGGATGAATGACTGAATGACTTGCCAACACACAGCACTCGGGCACATTTTGGGGATCACACTGGTCAGGAACTGTGACCCCCTCCCCCAATGGCTCCCCCCAAGACCACACGAGGCGCCACACGAGGGCCCGCCCCAGGTCACCATTGTTCCCCAACACGTCCACTGCGGCGCAGCCCGCCAGCCACAAGCAAACTGTTCGTCGACCCCCGGAGTTGATGCTGGACTTCGGGACGCAGCTCAACCGGTTAGGAGATCCCGGGGGCCCCTAGCCCACCGCCGACCCCCTCCCCGAGTACAGCTTCCGCCTATCCGATGATGGACAAAGCCTCGCGCAGCCCCCGCGCGCCCACCGGGGGCCCTGCGGGTCGGTGGGGGTCCCCGCGGCCGCGCGCACCGGGGCCCGCCGCGATCGGGCCGTTTGAATCTCCCGCCTGCGCGCGCACGGGCGCCGCGAGGCGGACGTGGGAGACGCGGCGGCCGGGGGGAGGGGGAGCGGCGAAGCGGGGCCCGGCGGAGCGCGGATCCCCGAGCCACGCGCCGCCGCCCCGCAAGGCGCCCTGCCGCCCGCCTCACGTGGGGACGGCGCTACGCGTCCAGGGCGCGCGCGGGCCGCGACCCCCGCCCACCGCGGGCCCGCCTCGCGCCGCCGGGACGCCGGCGCCCCGTCCTTTCCCCAGCCCCCAACCCCGGGCTCTCCGCGTGCCTGGCGCGACCTACCTCGGGCGCAGCCGCCGCCACCAACTCCGGCGCTCACCCGCCGGGCCGCGAACTGTCCCGGAGCATGCGCTCTGCAGGCCTCGAGCCCCGACCTCGGCCAGAAAGGAAAACAGAGGGCCCGGCGCCCCCTGGCGGCCGCCCCCAGAAGTGCGGCTGGCTGCTCCGGAGCCCCAGCCACACGCGGGTTGAGTATTGGAAACCCCAATCAAGACAACCACCAGTCGTGTTAACATGCCCTCCTCCTCCGTTTGGACTTAACATTCTCCATCTTAGGTCCTCAGCCCCTGCCCCGAAATCAGATGATCGGGCCAGGCCTAACAGGAGTCGCATGTTATCTCTAGCCTGCAGCTGGGACCCCAGAGCGCTCCTCTCCTCCCTGTGCAATTCCCCACCCAAGGCCCCTGGCTGCAAAAAATACTCCCCTGCATACAGACCGGCTGCTGCACCCTGCCCGTCAGGGACAGCCTGTCAGTTTGCTGACAATAAATTTTGGTATCCCTATGGTCCTCTGGGCTGGAACTTCCATTGGTGCTGTGACTCAGATCTTGGTTCCCCTGGTGGCTCTTGCTCTCCCCCCTGGGAATTCGAGCTGCCCCCTCCCCCCCTGGACCTTGCATTGGTCTCAGGCCCACCCAGAAGACCACCAAGGTGATCTCCCCTGACCAAGCGTTCTTCCCCACGTCCAAGAGTGGCCAATTCGACCTGGCTCCTGGGTGATAGTTCTGGGGGTTAATGGTCCATTTTTCAAGGGAAAAATCCTGGCACCAAGTCCTGAGCCCTCCTGGGCCTCGACCACGGGGCTATAAGGCCACAGGGATGCAGTTTACATGGACTGTCCTTCCCGAGGGCTTCAGAGATAGCCCCCATTTGTTTGGCCAGGCTTTGGCACCAGACTTACTGGACCTGGATGTACAATAATCTACCTTTATTTAGTATGTAGGCAAACTCCTCCTGTGCAATGCACACCCCTGCGTGTTGCTTCTTAACTTCGTGGCTGACTGAGGCTTTTGGGTGTCACCAAAGTCAAGACTACTCATGCCTCAGTTACATATTTGGGCCTGCAGCTTACCTCTACCCATAAAACCATTACCACCACCACCCCACTCCACCCACACAAGCATCTGATTGCCAATTATCTGGCCCAGCCCCCAAGTCAGAGCTGCTTTCCTTTTTGGGCTTGCAGGATATCACAGATCTTAGCTACTCAGCTATTCTTTTGGCTCGCCCTCTATACAAGGCGGCTGAAGGCCCTCAAGAGAAGTCCCAACTTTCCCCCTCCTCTGTAAATTTCACCATTTACAAAGCTGCAGCAAAGCCCTATTGCAAGCCCCAACCTTTCATGACCATTTCTTTTGTATATCACTGAAAACCAGGGATTCACATTGGGGATCCTGGGACAGCAGATTGGACCTTCATTCGCATACCTGACCTGTCCAAACACATGGACCCAACACATTGAGAATGGGTGCCTTGCTTCAGGGCACCTGCCACCTCTTCCCTTTTAATACAAGAATCAAAGAAACTTACCTTTGACCATCTGTCCCTCCATCACTACTCAGGATTCTGGATGGAAAGAGGCTTACATACCATGTCACCCTCAAGAGTTGCCCTTCTGGTCTCCCTGGTCGAGGATCCCACCCTGACTTTTTCATCTTGTCCTCCCCTTAATCCTTCACCCCTGCTCCCTGCTGGAGACACTCTTCTCCCACACACTCCTGTGTGGAAAGCTTGGAAGACCTCCTGCCCCACCCAGGGTCACATAACAGATGGACCGCTTAAGAACTCATACTTCACCAGGTGCCCGTGGCTCACGCCTGTAATCCTAGCTACCCAGGAGGCTGAGATCTGAAGATCACAGATTAAAGCCAGCCTGGGCAGGAAAGTCCATGAGACTCTAATCTCCAATCAACTACTCAGAAAACTGGAAGTGGCGCTGTGGCTCAAGAGGGAGAGTGCTCTCCTTGAGCTGGAGAGCTCATGGGCAGTGCCCAGGCCCAGAGTTCAAACCCCATGATCGACAAAAACAAAAGGAACCCATACTTCATCTGGTTTACTCATGGCAGCTCTTTCTCTGGGAGGGCTCACAGGTAGCTGGAAATGCACCGAGATGGTGGACTCTGGCCCATTCATGGTAAACACAACTAGCCAGCAGGCTGGGCTGGTAGCACTAACATAGGCCTTTGGTGGGCAGTGGGCTGCTCTTTGACAGTATACACTGACTTCTTTCATACTATCCTTGCTCACGCAGCTATCTGAAGGAGCAATGACTTCTGTCAACTAAGAGGACCTCCCTTATTCATGGTTTTTTTTTTTTTTTTTTGGTTGTGGGGCCTGAACTCTGGGTCTGGGCGCTGTCCCTCAGCTCTTCAGCTCAAGGCTAGTGTTCTACCACTTGAGCCACAGCGCCTCTTCCAGCATTTTCTTTTTTTTTTTTGTCGGTCGTGGGGCTTGAACTCTGGGCCTGGGCACTGTCCCTCAGCTCTTCAGCTCAAGGCGAGCGCTCTACCACTTGAGCTACAGTGCCACTTCCGGTTTTCTGGTGGTTTATTGGAGATAGGAGTCTCACGGTCTCTCCTGCCCGGGCTGGCTTTGAACCGTGATCCTCAGATCTCAGCCTCCTGAGTAGCTAGGATTACAGGCGTGAGCCACCAGCGCCCGGCTCTTCCAGCATTTTCTGCTTATGTGGTGCTGAGGAATCAAATCCAGAGCCACATGCATGCAAGGCAAGCACTCTACTACTGAGCCACCTTCCCAGCCCCTATTCACAGTTCTTTTTTTTTTTTTTTTTGGGTCCGGTGGTGGGGCCTGAACTCTGGGCCTGGGCGCTGTCCCTCAGCTCTTCAGCTCAAGGCTCGCGCTCTACCACTTGAGCCACAGCACCACTTCCAGCCTTTTTCTTTTTGCTTATGTGGTGCTGAGCAATTAAACCCAGGGCCTCAGGCATGCAAGGCAAGTGCTCTACCACTGAGCCACCTTCCCAGCCCCCACATTCATGGTTCTTATATTTCCAAATTCCTCGAAGCCTCTTTGCTCCCTTCAGCTATTGGGTTAGTCCACTGCCAAGCCCACCAGACAGATGACCCTTTCACAACAAAAGGGAACGATCTGGCTGACACAGAGGCTCAGCAAGCCAAATCTTGGCTCTGGAGCTGACGCTCATTGGGGAGGGTCCGTCACCCTCCAAACTGGATATCCTTCAGAACCTCCACCACCTCTTTCACCCCCACACTGGGATATTGCAGGAGCTCCTCAAACAAAGCTGCCTCAGCTCTGGTTGCACAGTTCCCCTGCCAGATGTCCTGGACATGTAGGATATGCCGAAACAAAAGACAAAAAAAAAACTAACCCTAGGGCTGGGAAGGTGGCTTAGTGGTAGAGCGCTTGCCTTGCATGCCTGAGGCCCTGGGTTCAATTCCTCAGCACCACATAAGCAAAAAGAAAAAAGCCAGAAGTGGCACTGTGGCTCAAGTGGTAGAGCGCTAGCCTGGAGCTGAAGAGCTGAGGGACGGTGCCCAGGCCCAGAGTTCAGGCCCCATGACCGGACCCAAAAAAAAAAAAAAAACTAACCCTAATACTAATGTTCAGCCACCCCATTTTCTAACTCACCAAGCCCAAGAACACCTTCCAGACACAAGGACTGGTGAGTAGATGTCACCCACATGCTGTCACTCAAAAGGTTTAGGTAGGGCTGGGAAGGTGGGTCAGTGGTACAGCGCTTGCCTTGCATGTATGAGGCCCTGGGTTCAATTCCTCAGCACCACATAAACAGAAAAAGCCTGAAGTGGCACTGTGGCTCAAATGGTAGAGCACTAGCCTTGAGCTGAAGAGCTGAGGGACAGTGCCCAGGCCCAGAGTTCAGGCCCCACGACTGACCAAAAAAAAAAAAAAAAGGTTTAGGTATTTCCGGTAATGATGGGCACATTTATGGGTTGGATTGAGGTTTCCCCACCACCAATAAGCGGGTACCCATGGTATCTTTCAGGAAATAATCCCCTACTTTGGTTACCTGCTTCTATAGAGACAGAAAATAGACGGGAGTTTGTGTTGGCTAAGGCCCTAAACATTTTATAGCACTTCCCCAGTCTTGGGAAAGGTAGAGAGAGCTAATCGCTTTCTTAAACAAGTACTAACCAAGCCATCTCTCTCAAGCTCCACGTGGACCGGATGCAGCTATTGCTTGAGGCTCTCTTTCCCTTAAGGGCTCTGCCAAAAAAGTCCCTTATGCTGAGCGCCCTTGAGATCATGTATGGCTGCTCTCCTTTACACCTCCTTACCAGCTTCTGACTCTCCTCTACCCTCAGAGATGTGGGCACCTCTTCTTCAACATCTGTGTACACTTTCCTCTGGAAATACATGGACTCTAATAGCCCCTCCCCTTCTTTCTCCACTTCTGGAGTTTCCTCTCCAGGGCAGGGATTTAGTGTCTGTTTCCAAGGCTGGATGCTGCATTCACCAGCCTTGCCTGGCCTCTCTGCAAAATGGGAAGGATCCTACCTGGTTCTTCTCTCTGTATACCTATACTGAATTCTAAACCCTGGCAGACAACAATCCTGCCCTCTCAACCACTGGTTGGAGAAAGTAAGCCTTTCTTCTCCTTCTGATGGGAAAAAGCCTAATAACAGTGGCTGCCCCTACAGGATTAGTCGGAGGAAGCCTTGATCATTCCATTCCCTATAGCACTCAGGTATGTGAAATTCTCCAGTCCTCCTGCACCCTATCTAGCAAAGACAGCCTGTCAGCTTGCTGACAATAAACTTTGCTGCATGTGACTCGTGTCCAAGTGTTCTTCTGAGCTAGAGTTTCAAGGAGTCCCAAAGACCACTGGAATCAGAATGTGTTTGGGAAAATTAGATCAAGTGTCTATAAAGAACAGAAAGATACTGATCTTGCCTGCCTTCTAAATGATCTCTAGCTGGGCGCTAGTGGCTCATGCCTATAATCTTAGCTATTCAGGCAGTTGAGGTGTGAGATCATGGTTTGAATCCAGCCCAGGCAGGAAAGTCTATGAGACTCTTATCTCCAAGTAGACACCAAAAAGCTGAAAGTGGAGCTGTGGCTCAAGTGGTAGAGCACTAGCCTGAAGT